AAGGATTCAGCTTGCACTACGTTATCAGGAAGACTATTCCATACTCTGGCTACACGCTGTGTAAAGAAGTGCTTCCTTAAATCCAGTTTGAAATGTTCTCCCGCTAATTTCCACCTATGGCCAATAAGAACTTCTCTCACTGTTATGTGCTTATATGTAATTTACCATATATTTTTCAACAAAGAGGATCAGTTAACACCTCAATAATAAATCCGAGTCTAGTTCACTCTAAAATTCTGTTCCAAAGCATGCACAACTGGCCACACCTGATTATGGCTGGACAAAAGAGTTTTCGTATGCGCACCAGAGCCTGGAAAGGTGCGGTCTTACTGGCTGCTTGCCATTCATTGGTGTAGAGGGTGTAGCAATAGACAGGAGCTCTGAAACAAAACACAGCCCAAGTTACACTTTCACACTCTGAGTAATGAGGTCTTATTGACTGTGTTTTCATTTTTATTGCGACAGATCCACAGGATGAATAATGTGGGATGAGGTGGATGATGGCTTCTGATTTTAGGTTTGAATGTGTAATATACTTCTAGGTAGTACCATATATGGTAATGTTTTTCCACCCGGTCCTCGGGGATCCACAGACAGTCCATGTTTTTGCTCCATCCCGGCTTCCTGCCGGATCGTCCACTCCCGTCCTACCTGGAGCTGAGAAGGAGCAAGAAAAGAAAGTTCGGTCTGGGGTTCCCCAAGGACCGGTTTGAGAAACACTGCTATATGCAGTCAGACAGATATGTTGAAATAACAAGATGGACTGAGTCACTGCACAGTTTCCAAGGATCAGGCTGATGAATGTTGACTGATGTCCATTGGCAGGCTAAAACAAAACCCCTCTCTATCATTCTGGTACAATGCCTGCCTGTTACTGTCATACTCTGTGATTGGTAGTGTTTCCTGATAGAGTATTCCCATAGTTTGAACTGGCATATCTGTGACAGGATGTCAGCAAACTTCCTGTTGGGTATCTTGACAGTATTGAAAGGGCACCTTTAGCTAAGATGCATTAGGTGTTTCATTTATCAAAGGATCTGGAGACTTTTCTGTTTACTGTTTAAACCTTCCACAACCATGGCACATGTTCAATAAGGCAACAGACAGTGTTCTTAGTGCCTGGGTAGGAGGGATTTGCTCACATAAACCCGAGCAGGAGCTTCATGACAGGAGTAATGGTGCCTTGTGGGATCCGCAGAGCCGGTCCTTGGGTTTGTGCAGAGGGATTACTGGCACTGTGTGGATCAGCTTCCTCAGCTGGACTCCTGTGGAAGGTGAGCAGAAGGAATCAGGATAATCAGTGATGCGGGTTTTCCTCTTTGTATTTAACGAAAGCAGAGGATCACTTCAGGCATTACATTGATGAATCAGTAGTTACTTGCCTTGAAAAATGAATTAGAGACTAGATTTTTGCAAGCTTCAAATACATTCATAATCTCAGTGAATGTTACCCCAACAATACATTAAGTTTCAGATAAATGGACATTCTAAAATATTCATACATTTTCCCCTAGGATCGAGATATTCACTTCCTTTTATAAATTTCTCATTTGGCCCATTCAGCAGGCTGAGCCTAATCTCTTTGGCTCTGGAACAGACATCTGCTTGCAAGAAGCTGTTGACAGCGCAAGGCAGGGGGCGGTATTTCCTAAGGCTGGCCCTTAAGAGAAGGATTCTGGGAAGTGTAGTTCTGCACCTTTCACACACAAGCAAGCTGTTGGAGGTCAGTAACACAAGCAAGAAAAGGTGTTGCCTGTATATATATAAAATTATATTTTATACTGCATTTAGAGAAAATTGTACTTTTAATCGTTGGATTAGGAGCATTACAATTAGTCAGAATACAATAAAAATATAATAGAATAAAAATATAGTAAATTAAGACCAAAACTGAACGGCTGAATGATTATAACTCTCTGTCTTATTTTAGTGGTACAATCCTACTATTTCCATTGTCAGAAATGATGAATTTATGGGTAAGTTTTCTTTGTACACTAGAAACTGTAGCAGTTAAAGGTATCTGTGAATAGTTTTACTTTACTTTGCTACTTTAAAACTTACAAATATGAAACTATGTTGCTCTCCAGAACCATTCCTGTCTTTACTGCTTGTCCTTTCTGAACTGGAGTTCAACCTTAACATTGAGGTAAAAGTTATCTCCTAGCCCCTTCTCTATACCGTAAAACCAAGTGATGGAATTTAGCGCCACTCACCCCCATTCTTTCCTTTTACTGTAGAACTGCAGCTTTTTGGATGACAGCTGGCTGTTGCCGGTAAATTCTCTTTTTACTTTGTGGAGGCAGCCATTACCCATTGTGTGACAGTTAATAGATACTTTCGCTACTTGGACCAACCCCAGTCCCTGGAAATGATTCCACTGGAATTGCTAAAATGCTGTTGATCTCTCCTTGCGTCAATGAAGGAGGCTTTTGAGAATGCATCTGATTTTGGGTTTTTTGTTTGATGTCTGTATGTCGACTTGAGGGAGAGAGTGATGTTTGTTTTTGTATGTTCCAGGTGTGTGATGTTTATGAGATAGTACCATGCCGGGAACTGGGAATGGTACTCAGGTTAGTTCTAGTCTTCTTCCTTCCTCTTTTCAAGTGTCCCCAGTACCAAAACAGCCGTATATAACTGCCCCCCCCCCATTCAATGAGTCAGATACCTTGGTGGACGCGTCTTCGTGTTGGACCTGATTGAGGGCAGCCAGGCGCAGGTAGACGGATGTGTGCTGCCCGGTGACATCATCGACGAAATCAACGGGATATCTCTGAGGAACGCCTCCAACAGACAGGTGAGGGAGAGTCACCAGCTGCACCCGCATATACATGCTGCCTCAGCTCAGATGACGCCCCCTACATACCGCAGGCAAAGAATTCGACCATAAAGCACATGTGAAGTACTCAGACAGAAATGACGCGTTTATAGTCATTTATGCAATTAGACTCCAGCTGGCTGCAAGCCGCGACCTCAGTCACTTTGAAAAGGCAGTAATTCTTACTAATTTTTAATACTCTTTCGGCTGGTCCTGCAGGCCGCGGGAACCGTTGATAATTTAACAGCATTCAGAGGGGAATGTCAGTCTTGTGAAAACACTGAAAACCTCATTATGCAAAGCGGGGTGCAGATGTGGTGCCTCAAAGCCATGTCCGCTGCGGTTTTGGCACGGTGTCCAGATAGCAGCTTTCTCATTGGTGCAGACCACTAATCTCTCCTTTTTAAACAATGACTGCATTTCTGGCAGTGTCTAGATCTACTAAAGGCAGATTGATTGTGTTGTGGCTTGTTACCCTCCTGGTTAATAGCCCCTCTTTGGGTTGAGGGGGTGTCGCAGAGGGTGGCAGTGCTTCCTCAAGAGTTATGTAGTCAGCAGGATGTTTTTTTTAGGAGGAGGAGGAGGATAAAATTATTCAGCCACTTTATTGCTTACTGGACTTCAGATTGAGTCTTTGAGAGGACTTTGAAGCCATCGGATCAAGGGGAACTGGTTTAATGGTACTGTGCTGCTGCAGATTCAGTTCCTAGTCTTGTTGATGTTATTCTACATCATATCTACTCCATATCTGACCGCATACAATGGCCCGACTGAACTGGAGTTAGTTGGCATTCGTAATGGACTTGAACTATCCACCTGGTAGCCGGTACAGGAGGCCCCCTTTCTGTACACAGGCGGGCACAGTGCTGGCACAGCTGAGGGGCGCCCCGCTGTCCCTGCGTGTGCTGCGATGGAGGGCCGAGGACGGATCAGTGTACCGGCCCGTGGTCAGACTCCTGCAGGAACTTCAGCGGGAGCATCCGTCGCTGTGGCTGCGCCCCACCTCCCTGCCCCCGCCACGACAGGAGTCCCAGTGCCTGAGGGATGGGCGGTGAGGAACGGGACTCTCGTCAGTCTCATTATCTAGCGACTGGGGGACTTCGGTGCATGGTGGCACGTTCCTCGTGTGTGGCATCTCAGTCGTGCTCCTTTGTTTTTCCAGGATCGTGTACATCGTGCAGTATTTGGGAAAGGCCAGCGTCGGAATGGTAAACGCACATGTCTGTGCCGTCTGCCTTTATTCTCTGTGCACTGCCAACGAGAGACCATAGTTCAAGGTTCGTATGTAGCAAATTGTGTTTGTACTGGGTTTGCATTTCAGTATGGGGGAAAGGAAGTGCTGCAGCACGGGATTGCTCTGGTCCTGGAACAGAATCGGCCCAAAAAGGTATAAGTCAAGGCAGGGGGGAGACGAGCGTAACCGGGCACCACCTGTATCCTGTAATAACAGCTGATCTGCACCTAACAGGCTTTAACAAACATGCCAGAATCTCATGAAGGGCCTCATCACACTAATATATCTACTATCAAACCACTATATGCATGTCAGACCACATTTTATGCCTGCAAAAAAGAGCAGACTGATAATATGCTCTACAGAAATGCTTCAGACAGAATGGCAGCTATATTTCATTCCCTGGCATTGTAGTACAGTATACACTGCTAATCCGAATCCCTGTCCATACACCTTTGATAATATTTTTTCTCCCAAGCCATGAGCGTATTTAGTGAAAGCGTGTCTGTATCACGTAGCATGAATCTTTGCAGCATAAAGAGGTAGGAAGCTCATGCAAACGCTAACAGCCATTAAATGCAGCTGCAGCTCTCATTTCATGTGATGATTCAGGTTTGGCTTTATTCATTGTCAGCTGCTCCCACAGGCGGCGCTGTTCGACCTGAAGGAGACACATGTGACCTGCATGGAGAAGACGACGAAACAAGTGAGCGCTTTTCCGCCAGGCAGGCACGTGCGCCCACTGGGGGCCTCCGATAAATAAACCCAGGATGTGTTTACCCAAAATCAGGAGCAAAGCCCTTTTGCTTGTTTTTATTTCTAAATGGTTGAGTCCCCATGGAACTGCAGTGAGCTGGTGACGAAAAAAGAGGCAAGACATGAATACATGAAGCGGAGCAGGGTTACACCCCCCACACATACTCTTTAGAAGCACACATTAGTACACTGTTTACATCTGTCATACAAATTACACATCTATCATTTACTGTGTGACTTAAGCTCTTTTATCTGTCTTCCTCTTCTGTTCAGGAGATTTTCCAGTATCACTACCCAGAGATTTCCTGTGTGGGGAGATACAGCCAATCAGACCATACGATCTTTGCCTTCTGTGTCGTGTGAGTATCTGTCATGGGTGGCAAGTGTGAAGGTGTGATTCTGTGAGAGGAAAGTGCTTCCTCCGTTGAGATCACCAATTGTGCTTCTTGCTAGCTTTTTAAAACCTAGGCTGTTCCTGTCCATTCAGTCGGACTTAAGCATAAACGACCACAAATTTACTCAACCAGACCGAAAGCCGTAAAAGAACCTGAATAGTATTCACTATCTGTATCACACTGCATCTGTATCACACTTGCAGGAGAGGAAAAACAGGATCATCTTACTGTGCTTTTATAAAGGTGCACTTGGAGTAGTCATTTCATCAGTACATATTGAACTGCACCAATACAGCATTCAGTAACTTTTAGCAGATGCTTTATGCAAGTGCAGAAACCTTGTGCTCAGAGCAGGTCTGGCCAGCATCCCTTGAGCAGTTGGGAGCACAGTGATGATTATTATTCTGCCACAGGTTTAGAGCCCCAAATCTTCTGGACACAGCCACAGGTCCATGACCTGCTGAGCTACAGTCCCATGTACTTGATGTAGCAACTGTGGTTACAGAGAACATTTGTGAATAATGTCATCATAGTCACAGGGAAAATTATTTGGAAAAACTTCACAGCAGACATAGCTATGTAACCTAGCACAGAGAAGCAGCCAGTTGGTGTGATTATAAAACTTGATTGTACTGAAGAAACAAAGAAATATAAAAGCTGCAGAGAAGCAGATCTCCCTGGGATACCTACCTCATACACCCACCAGCAATGTACTCCTTAGGTGACACTAATTTTTCATCTGAGAGCTAAACACTGGTGGTGGTGGGGGGGGGGGGTCTATTTTATGATGAATTTGGAAGCAAGATGCTGGCTGAATACAATTTACTGCATCACAGAGACTGCCTAGAACCCCCCCAGTCACCAAGCTTCAGCTGCTTGGCAATGCGAGCAGGATCTGCTGAGGAATGCGAAGCCATCGTCACCCGGATAGGTATGTGACCCTGTGAACGAGCCCATAGCCGGCAGAGGCACATATAGGTGTATTTCTGAACTAAGCCTCTTCCGAGTGGCAAATAACTCGTTCCATTTCTCTGCAGCCATTGGTTTCAAGCACACAGAGGGGTTTGTCTGAGATGGCCGAACAGACACTAACCTCCCCACTGGCAACTTTGAAGGTCCGAGTTCAATACGCTATACTGTATACTAGCTATACTATACCAACTATAACTACTTGCTGTTCGCAATCACCTAAAACTGTCTGTCCCTCATGTGTTTATGACGGTAGCCGTCGCCATTCCTCACTTGCTGCTGGAAACCCTAGATGGAGCACTGCTCCATAAAAAAATCTGAATGAAGCAGCATTTTAAAGCAGAAAGCAATCGGTTTACATAAACTTCAGCTAACCAGAACACAGCACACTTTTTAAAGGAATTTAATAGAAAGACAATGTAACACATAATTGTAGCTGCCAAAGTTAACATTGGAAAAATATAAAAAGCAGCCCTGAATACAACAAGTCTGCACAATGTTTGCATTCCCCTACTTTTGTTCCTAACACCGCACAAGTGATGCTGGGTAACTCAAGTGGAGATTATTGCATGAGGGATCCTGCTATGACAGATTCCCTAGAGGCTGGAAGAGGGAAACAGACACCTATATACATACACACACCATGACACAATAGCACAGATCCATCCCAGGGCCACTTGAAGGGATTTACAACCCGGTTTAGCGCAAAACACCCCCCATATTCCTATTGACCACCTAAAGGGCAACATCTAATGTACTTACATCGACCCATTACATGCAAAGAGCTCGTCTGACAACCACAAACTATTAAACCAAATCCCTGCACCATTTCTACCTTAATCCTATGGCACAGGACCCACGTGACACGCTGTACACATCTAACTAAATGGAATGATAATTACAGCGGCATTGTTCTCGTTTTAAAGACATCTTCTTAAAAAATGAATGAAACCGAACGTCCAAAGTGGTAGATAAAAGCATGATAAATATTCTGTGGGCATCCGAATTGTGCCATCTAAGCCCTCTCCCCTCTTATCCGGCGAGCCAGCTGGATATCTTTGGGCATGATGGTCACCCTCTTGGCGTGAATGGCACACAAGTTTGTGTCCTCGAACAGCCCAACAAGGTATGCTTCACTGGCTTCCTGATGGAGAGAAAGAAAAAAAATTGCTTTTGTATTCACTGCACCTGAAACAACGGAATGTGTCAAATAATCAGGCAATATAGAGTCATCCATTACACCAATTGCTCGCTTGTTACCTGGAGAGCCCCAATCGCAGCACTCTGAAAACGCAGGTCAGTCTTGAAGTCCTGAGCAATTTCCCTGACCAGTCGCTGGAAAGGAAGCTTCCGGATGAGCAGCTCTGTTGACTTCTGGTAACGCCTAATCTCTCTCAGAGCCACAGTTCCAGGCCTGGCGTTGGGAAGCACAGTTAATTTGCACATCAATTAAGCTGAAGATTATCTGTGAAGATTAATCTTCACATGCAAGCATGTGAGAAGACATCTTTAAACCTGTAAAAGCACCCGTGTGCTTTGTGTGGCACAAAACCAACCTGTAACGATGAGGCTTCTTCACACCACCAGTAGAGGGCGCGCTTTTCCTAGCAGCTTTGGTCGCCAGTTGCTTTCTTGGCGCCTTCCCTCCAGTAGACTTACGAGCGGTCTGCTTGGTACGAGCCATGTCTTATCTTTAAAAGACAAAGCACAAAAACCATTAAGGGATACTAAATGCCACTTCAAATTAACTAAACCAGGTCTATTGCATACTATTGAAAGTTAAACTAGAAAATGAGCAGTACTGCATCCCTCCTAGGAAAAGTAATCCTTCAAAATCCTGCCATTGATTGTGGTTACTAGCTGCAGTATTGACATGGAAGTTTATAAGAGTTTACCGAAATTAGAATGTCAGGGCAAAGGACAAAAAAAAAAAAACACGCCACAACACCTACGCGAATATAGTAACTCACCCCCACCCTCCTACTGGAAAACCCACAGAGATGTCGGCGCCGCTGGGAGGCGTTCGGCGTGTCAGAGCGCCTCCAAATTTGATTATGAATAGACCGCGGCGCTCACTACCCCCGCCTTCAGGAGGCCTAGACCTCACAGCACTCGGCGCTAGTTTTACAGCTGCCTTTGTTCGGCAGCGATCGCCATGTATACTTCGGGGAAATACACTACTTAGACATATTCTCAGTTGCCCGCCAATTTTCTATAGTAATTTCGACACAAGACAAAATGTCTAGTAGTCAGTTCCATCCACCACGGCATAATGCGCACTACGAAGACAAAGGCGGGCTGTTCACACAAGCCCTACCGAGAATTCAAGGTCGTTCACGCCAGCCAGCTGGAATTTACAATCCGTGGCCGCAACCACGAGATAGCCCAAGATATTCTCCGAAAATTAAACGATGGATCAAAGTATTAAAAGACAAGCGGAAATATAAATACCTGTTCGTGTTTCACCCACTCGAAGCAAGCGCTAGATTGGTTGATCGGTAGGGAAAACCTGAATAATCCGGATCGTTGAAGGAGGGGAGAAAGCCCAAGAATGCAGATCCTCCTCTCGGCGGAATCCTAAATACAACCGACGTGACAGAGGCTAGATATTTATAGTAATGCCTTACGTCACTTCATCACACTTCAAATTTCCTTATCCAACCCATCGACGATTGGGTTGAAGTAACCCAGCCCTTGCGTTTATTGGTTGAAGAAAAACCTATTGGACTTAGTTTTTATATTACCATCCAATTGGTTCGTTCTATAGCGCGACTAACCAATTGACAGTCAGTTGTGCCAAGACATTTGTTGAGAGGAAGAAATAAGTCCCATGTGGGGCAAAGAAACGTAAACAAATTTAATGATAGTATTTAAATGAAAGTATAAAGTTCTAAATGTACAGTTTCTACACAGAAGTCTTATATGTGAAAGTACTAGACCTTTAGCTTTCAGTAAGTCATTGGCGCCAGTATATTGTTCTGTGAAGTCGAAAACAGAACAGGAGTTCTTTCACCCTGAAGACGAAATGTAATTGAATGTAAAGTGTTCTATATTCCTTTTTTATACAGAAGCATGAACGGCAGAACAAACGATAGTTCTGCGGTTTATCCTAGATAGTGGTTAGACATGACCATTTAGAAAGCTTTTTTAATAAAGTGCAGGATAAACAGCCTCGATCCCAACTAATAATCATATAAAACTACTCAGATAAATTGTAAAATTTCCGCCACCATTAAGACATTTGAACTTCGAAATGGGTTTTGGGTGGAGAACTTATAAGAAGGAAGTGCAGAACTTAAATAGAAGAAAGATGCTTTCTTGAGGACGGGTCATGATAAAAACAAATACGGCTGCAATTTAGTAATTCGGAGAAAGTTTTGCAATTTTATTGGATAGCTGACTTTTTCATAGTGAAAATACACTTTCGCCACGTAAAGACAGTTACATACATTTACAGGCAACCTGAAATACAACCAAAAACTTTGCACACCAGGGCACAACGCCATAGCTTAGAGCAAATTCCGTCTTTATGTTGTGACCTTTTGGTGTCAATAATTGTCGATGTAATTCAAATTCCCATTCAACAACTAAAACTAGAAAAATTCCCGCCAAAAAGCAACATGAGCCAAAATATTTTAAGCAAGTACGATGTGAAATTATTTCAAATATAAGCCGATGCATTCATTTACGGAAATATTATCGAGTAGATGAGGTTCACGAAATCCTTGTGAAACAATGTAAAATGGTCACCACTGTGTGGAGAAATTACACAATAGCACATAGTCATATACAGTTAACGAAAACATTTTAAATGAGAATCCATGGGAACTACACGTCCCATCATACTTTAAAGGTCTTGATGTCCGGGGCTTCCTCTTCCTAGTACCAAGCGCAGGCGCACTTCAGAGAAGAATGCGGACTTCGAAGCGCGAAGAACAGTAAAAATAGATAGAGAAGCGTTTGAAAAGGAAATATGTCGAAGGCGGCCATACAGGCCAATTCCACTTCGGGGACTGCAGCCAGTGCCGGACCTTCCTCCTCCTCTTCTTCTTCCTCGTCAGCTGGCGGCTCGACGTCTCCCGCTAACGTACTGCACGTACAGCCCGAGAAACCGCAGCACTACACGTACGTAGCCAACACACCCTCACGTGCACTTGCAGTCATAGGCCATTACGCACCTGACATGGCAAGCGACGACGGTGAGCTATAGCTATCTGTAGCTAATTGGGCGGGCATGGTGCTCGCGTTCGAACTGGTCCGTACCGGTTTGTACCAGTTCAAACCGACGCAGGGTTGAAGCGGAGGCCTACACACGAAAACCTTCACTTGGTACAGTCCAGAAATAGGCGGTTGTTACTGCGGCGGGCGTTTAATATGTTACCGCTGTCTTTTGTAAATATGGAACATGGTACGCAAAAGCTGCTTGTCTTCTTGTGTACACGGTTGTTGGGTCACATCGCGCGTGAAGCTCCTCATTTGTTTCCGCCTTATTATTAATCGATACGTTTGAATAGATCTAATTGGCCGAGAAGAACGAACTGCTACAAGGACGGATTTTCTGTCATTCGGGAGCCACTGATTTAAGCAAATAGGAAGATTATTCTATTTATTTATAGGATTTTTTTTAATAATAACGATTTCTCCGTATAAAAAGACATCATGCCGTTATTCACATGTATAACACACAATTTAAAATAAATCTACATAAAGGTGGTCTGAGTTATAAAAAGTACATGTTTTTTAGTTGTGCCAAAACAGTGAATTGATGGTTTTGAGGTACCTGCGAATTTAAAGATTGCAGGTAGTAATAAAATAGGCAGACATTTTCATGACCAGATAACGGCACACTTACTGAGAGACTATGAATGCCCCTCTATAATGTGCATGCAATGCACCACATGCTTGTCACTCATTTACATTATGATTCAGATGAAGTGAAACGTGCCCAGATTATTGCCAACAATCAACGCATTTCCCTGTACACTTGTGTATGTTAGCTGCCCTTGACTATCTGATGCTATCAGCCCGATCCGCGCGACACGATCCCTGTCCACGATCTCAGTGTCAGTGTCGATCTCTGTACCCCAGTTACCTGAAGGAGTTCCGCACGGAGCAGTGCCCGCTCTTTGTGCAGCACAAGTGCACGCAGCACCGCCCCTTTGCCTGCTTTCACTGGCATTTCCTCAACCAGCGCCGTCGCCGTCCGGTTCGGCGCAGAGACGGCACGTTCAACTACAGTCCGGACATCTACTGCACCAAATACGACGAGGGCACGGGAACCTGCCCCGATGGAGACGAGTGAGTTTGCGGTCGGGAGCCGGAACGCAGGTTGCGTGAATTGAAGGTAGCGGCAAATGTCACGATCGGTGTAGAGATGCCGGTTAGCTGTTTGAGCATCAGTCTCAACAAAGGTTGCGGAGAATGTGATATTGCTGACAACCACAGGCGCAATGAAGTACCTCTCATGTACTCACAATTCTGGCACCGATTTAAGATAAGGGTCTGTTGGAAGACCAAAGGAACTGAAAATTCCTCTATGGAATCATAATTGAACTATAAGTAGTATGGAATAAATACGGAATAAACTATAATGTATGGAATAAAAACTGAATTTATTCTAAAACCAGGCTTGTGTTATGCAGGTCTCCTACATGTGAATTATCAAATTTCAACACCTGCATTCTAACCAGGGATCAACCAGTGTTAATTAGTCAGTGCATCTGCTTAGATGTTTTAGATATATGTTCATATATGTGATACAGATCATGTAATGCTGCAGTTTAATTGCTGGTATTGAAAATATGTAGGGTTAGATAATGAAACTGACATATTAACATTTCAGCCTAGTTCTCTGTTTGTGCGTCAGATGCCCTTTCTTGCACCGGACAGCTGGCGATACTGAGCGACGGTATCACCTCCGTTACTACAAAACAGGCTCCTGCATCCATGAGACTGACAGCAAGGGGCACTGCAGCAAAAACGGCCCCCACTGTGCCTTTGCCCACGGCTCCCACGACCTACGCAGTCCCGTCTACGACATCAGGTACGCTCTGTTGCTCGCCTGCGATGGGTGGGAGCGGCGTGGCATTCATATGCATTCTGTTGCCTTGTAGATAGTCATAAGGAACAGGCTCTTTGAATGTGGTCCACTCTGAATACACTGATTCCAGGGATCTTTAGAAGTGGAATAGAGTATGTAGGGTGGTGGATGTTGAAGGTTGAACACATATCAGATAATGACATTAAGCACAGTGGAAAGGCTTTTCTTTGAAGTACCTCCCTTCCTGCAGTATAACACTCTACTGCCCCCTGCTACCAACACTGCTGGAAATGCTGATCTGAACAGTGATCTCAGCATCTCACAGGTTCTCAGGTGGTGACTGAATTACTGTGGCTGAGGTGGTCAAATCAAAGCCAAATATACAGGGCTGAAAAAGGGAGAAAACACTAACGACCGCTCAATACCAGACCAAGCTTCCAGTCATACTTAAACTGTATTTACATAGGCCAGGTTGCAAAAAAAATATGTAATCCTGCACTTCGTCTATGAATCTGCACAGAATTAACCGTTTTAGTTGGTGTTTCACGTCAAGCAGGGAGGTGCAGATGATCGAGGCGCAGGCCGGCACTGGGGGCACGGAGGGAGCCGCTGGAGAGGGGCAGTCGGGACTGGCGGCCAGCACGGCCCTCATAGAGAAGATCCTGGCTGAGGAACCTAGCTGGCAAGGTGCTCCGTCTGCTTCCCCAGGCTCTCATTCACACCTGTTCACGTCCCGCAGAAGGTGCCTCACTGCAGTGTTTTTATCTGTGGCTGCCCGCAGATAACAACTACGTGCTGTCGCATTACAAGACGGAGCTGTGCAAGAAGCCGCCTCGCCTCTGTCGCCAAGGTTACGCCTGTCCGTATTATCACAACAGCAAGGACCGTCGGCGCAGTCCGCACAAACATAAGTACAGGTTCGTCACTGAGGAAGCCCCCTTTCCGTTAAAGCAGCCACTGAATTTTTGGCTTGAAATTTTTGATGCCCTCCTGCATCGATTGTGGACAAACACACCAATCAAAAATCGAGATCATTAAAAAATGATATTAGCAGAAATGCATTCTGGTGTGTGGTTTAATTGTTGTGCTTGTACATTTCTTAATGGCAGGTTCTTAATTAATGGTAATTTCTTCATGAACAGTAGCAGCACCAAAACGGCCGAACGCTTTGCTGTAATCTTTTTTCTTCCACCATTAGTCAGTGGTCAGCAGCTTCAGTCCCTCTCCTTTCAGAGCGCTGCCCTGCCCTGCTGTGAAGCACAGTGATGAGTGGGGTGACCCCAGCAAGTGTGAGAGCGCGGAGAGCTGTCAGTACTGCCACACTCGCACTGAGCAGCAGTTCCACCCAGAGGTATGATCCGCCGCCATAAAATGAGTATTAAATCGTAATCGTGTTGTATTATAATGATGTACCCGAGGTCCCCCTTTGGTGTGTTGCTGATTTATAGGCACGCACAAAATTCAAGGATTAGGGAGCGATTGCCATCATACTATCCGGTCTCCCTCCAGAGAGATTGTAGTTGCAGCAGCTGGAGCTCACAACATTGTTACTCTGCATTCAGCCTCTGTGTAGCGGTGTAGAGCAGGGGTGCCCAACCCGTCGAGCACGATCGATCGTGTTTCCGGGTCGATGGCGACATAATTAATGCATGATGGTTTATTTCATTGGTGGCCAACCGGTCAATTGTGATCGGGAAAATTTACCAAGGGGGACCCCCCCACCCGGTCAGCAATATATACCAATGGAGCCACGTTTTATTCTCCCCTGGATCAGCAAAATATATCGATGCAACCCACCCCTTCAGCGGCAAAATATACCATCACGATTCGGGACCTCAGGGTATTTTATTTGTAAATAAAAACGGTTGGGCACCCCTGTTGTACAGAGTGGCGTTTTGATGGCTGCAATAACATATTTATTTGGAAATGTAGTAGTTTTTGGTTAGAGACCAATTTATTCCTTTAAAACCCTGAGTATGGTCTGCTTTCCCATTGTATGGAAGTGTACTTAATCTGTTTGTAAGGTGTTGTTTTCTGTGCTGTTTTTGACTGTGTTTATATGGGTGATTTCTGTCATTATGGACAGAAATGATAGATATCTGACAGTCTGTTTTGTTTTCTCTTTTCCCTCCTGTCAGATATATAAGTCGACTAAGTGTAATGACATGCAGCAGTCTGGCGCCTGCCCTAGAGGCCCCTTCTGTGCCTTTGCGCACTTGGAGCGTAAGCACTTTTCATTCTCTTCTTATTGCTTGTTGCCTTTTCTGCTGTTGTTTTCCAGTGCATTATATCCAGTGCCCTGGATGTGTGTCTGTCGCTGTGTGTGTGTGTGTGACCCTCTCATTAAGCACACAGAGCTCAGCCTGCCTTTCTCTCTGCACAGATCCTAGCATTAATGAGGAAATCCAGCAGGTGTTCCTAAACCCCAGTTCCCCGCTGCCGTCAGGGACCATGATGGATGACACAGGCCAGGGGAGCCCCGGGAGCCCCCAAGGCTGCATTGGTATTGGTGGCGCCCCTTTTGCCCCCTCTAGTGGTGCATGTGTACCAGAGCAAGGCCTCCGAGGAAGGCTGCTTGGTGAGGACTCACCCGGCCTAGATGCCCCTCTGACTCCTTGGGTGGGAGACGGGGGATACGGACGGGCACCAGGCTTTGAGCGAGAGGACCAGGTTGGTCTTGACAGGATTCTTTTGGAATGGATGCATATTGCTCTGCATTGCTGGGGCTTCTTTTTTTAATCTTAGCACTGTTTTACCGCACAGGCGAAACAGAAAACTATCTCCGTGGAGCATCGCTGCAGAGAGACGACGCACATTCACAGTAAGCAGGTAATGTCCCATCCTCTCGTCTTCCACGAGCTGTCATTTGACACATCTGCTGTTTCCAGCAGCCTGTGAAATTATCTAGCACCAGATTCATGCTATGTCGTTCCATGTAGGACCTGATGGTCTTCCTCCCAGTGGGCAGTCCTCTCAGCATGTCGTCCAGTGTGCCCTCCAGCCTGGCTGCCACGCCCCCAAGCCCTGCCCCTCCTGGCCCATCTCCTGGCATGAATGCCAATGCTCTACCCTTTTACCCCACCAGTGACACCGTGGAGTCTGTTGTTGGTGAGTCTGACTGGCAGTTTTGTGCAAGGGTTTGGTTTTACTTAAACCCACATTCTCCAGGCTGATAATTGATGTTGACTCCAAGGAAGATCATTATACTATTGTGGTAAAGCAGGAGCTGACTTAGGAAGCTCAGCAACTAGGCACTTCAGCTGTTAAGTAGAGCAAATAAGAGCTCACCAAGTGGCATTTGGCATTTGAAATTGCTAGCACTTGCTCTGTTTTAGGAATTTTCCTTAGTATGCCTCACATGTATACACATATATTTTATATTTACTCTTTTCTATGTCATATGATATGTAAATATGTAATTTTTTTGTGCCTTTTCAGAGTCAGCTCTGGATGATCTTGACCTGAACGACTTTGGCATGTCGGCCCTGGAGAAGAGCCTTGACAGCAGTACTGCAGCCCCCATCCAGGGTGAGACAGAGCGCCACTCTCACTAAGCACTTCCCACTTCCTGTTTGGAACGGAACCCACAAACATTCCTAATAAATTATTTCATGCTTTTCTATGAATCCTTGAAATTCGTGTAGATACAGTCCTTTGTACAAAGTTTGAGTCTTGACACATTCACAGTGTTTTCAAATTAAAATTATTTGGGAATAATTTTTTTTCATTTAGATTCTCTGTACTAGGATGTTGGTTGCGACATGAGTGATTGATTTGCAGTTTGAGAGATGGGATGAATGGGGTGAGCAGGCTTGAAACCTGCTCAGTGTTTTAAGTGTTTGCCCCATTTCTAGGTACATGAGGTTCCTGGCTAGTCTGCTTCAGTAGTTTTTTGTCAGGCAGACGTGTTTGAATGGTAAACGCTTGTTTAGGAGAGATGTCATTGCCTGCTTTGGAGTCTCTTTCCGGTGTCGACAGTGATGGGGATGAAAGTCACAGTAAAGACAGCTGCCAGGAAATTTTCTACAAACCATTTAGAAATTATGTGAAAACATGCTTTCAAATAAACCTATATTTGACCAAATCGGCCAGAAATGGAGTGAGAACAAGCATGCATTTCCTCAGAAAGGTAATCAGTATAGATGCTTCAGGTTGTACATATGATCCAGCAGTCTAGCTTTTGTCCAGATCAAGGAGTTTTGCTAAAGAATGGATCGTCCCCTTCACATGAGGAGTTAGTATGTGCTTCTAGTGGAGATTCATGAGTAACAGCTTAGTCATGATACTATCAAAGTCAAAGGGGTCAAAGGCTGTGATTAGGGGTCCTCTACTGGTGTGTGATGTGGCACTTTCCCACTGCATGAACCTTTTTCAGGAACCAGGAGCTTCTGTCCGAACTCAACCTGATTGTAGTTCCTTGGAGGTAGTTTGTGAACATTTTTTTAGATCCTACTCCAGAGTAGGTACTTTTCACTTGACGAAAACCTACTGGGTGGGACATATGACGCGTTGCTGATTGATTGACCACAAGCACCGGCGATTACTTAGAAATGACCAGAAATGCAGGGAAAGATAGAAGTAATGGGTCAAAAGTTGAGCAGATAGAATTATTTCCGTATCTCAGTTACATTAAATGCATTAAGGAATACCTCTCTTGCTTGCATCTCCTTATTTCTGCATTAGAAAACTCGATCAATAACCGGAGTACTTGTGTGTAATATCCCCAGTGCTGGCAGTGAAACTTGCCAGTGCTAATTAGCAGCATAACTGTAAATAATTTTTTGTTCTTTGGAGGATGAAAGATCGATCTGTTCTGATCACTCTGCCAGATTTAATAATGAATTATGAACATATTGTGTACCGTATAAATAAAACTTAAATAAAATGTGATTTGTCGCAATTTTTCAGACCTCGTGATTGATCCCCCCAATAACTAGCAAAATGACTTGATCATCCTCCATTGTTTTGGCGTGGCAATATAGGTTTTTATGAAATTATGTGTGAGGTTTAACCTACAAGCTTTATGCATCTCCCGTGCTTATTTAACATAAAGGTCACAATACCTGTTGTGCAGTGGGAAGACGGCACATGAAAGTGGCTAGGAACTATAAAAACCAGGAACTAGGTTCATGAACTTCAGACGAAAAGTGCCTCATGGTCAACCATGAGTTGAGTTCCCAAGCCCAGTCTGCTGATCAGTTTAGGTCCTTATGTGTTTAGAACTGTGAGTAGTAACAGAAAGAACAAGGTTGCAGGTACACGTGGCTGAAATATGCTTCTTTATCACCGTTACCCTCCCATTATGTCTTGCAGGAGGAAGCCAGCTACAGAGCTCTGCACCGGTCAACATTCCTGGCTCTTTCAGTAGCTCCGCCCCATTCCGCTCACCCTCACCCTCACCACCAATCAGAGCACTAACATCCCCCTTCCTTTCTGCTCACTTGCCACAACCTGGCCAATCAGAAGGCAGCTTTCTGGGTCCATCACACAGCTCTCTTGGTCGGTATTAAAACAGCTTTTTCAATGATATGTCACTCTGGATAAAAGCGTCAGCTAAATAAGTAAATGTAAATGTATTCTGCCTGCAGGGCTAAATGGGATGAGTTGCAGTATCTGGGAGCACCTCCCTCCATCACAGGGCTCCCCCGGCACACCCCCGACCCTGCATCCTTCTGGCCTGTGTATGGAGGCGACACGACTGAAACAGGAAGTGGAGGATGCAAACCGGGTGCTGAAACACTGGGACCACAGCTGGAGGCAGATGGCCCAGGTGAGTGACCCTAAGGTTACGTTTACACTGCAGGATGAATGTGGCCCAAATCCGATTTTTTGCTCATATGTGACTCAGATCGCATTTTTTTCATGACAATGTGAACAGCACAAGTCATAGGGAATCCGATTTTTTCAATTCCGATTTGGGCCACTTCAGTATGTGGTCATAAATGGGATACAGGTCTGATTTTTTGCAATGCGACCTCGAAATCGAAATTCATGATACTTTTACGTCACTCCCGATCGACGCTTGTCACAATTCTGCGCAGGCGGAAGTCACCATATGTCTCCGTCAGAGTGCCAAACATGGAGGAGAGCACAGAAGTTGGCCAGTGGAGGGACAGTGAGATGCTGGATTTAATAAGTATTTGGGGAGATAAATCTGTTCAGGCAAAGCTGGAAGGTTCATATCGTAACCAGGCAGTTTTCGAATCAATAAAGTGACGTCTTTGTTGTTTTGGGCTAGTTCAGTATAGTGAACCGTTCACATTGAAATCTGATATTGCCCACATTAAAAAGCGTAATGTGAACAGGCAAATAAAAACTCCGATCTGAGCAGGAAATCAGAATTGAGCATTAAGCCCTGCAGTGAGAACGTAGCCTTAGAGCCTTACAAATTCCATCCAAAAAAGAAGCACCAAACCCTTAATTCTATGTAGGGGAGCAATGTTTCTCAGCCCAGTCCTCAGGGACCTCCAGACAGTTCATATTTTTGCTCCCACCCAGCTCCCAAACAATCAAGAACACCTGGTACATGTGTGTTGGGGGGGGGGTCCCAAAGACTGGGTTGTGAAACACTGCATTACAGGGCTCCCTCTCATTTTTTTGCACAGTCCTGGGCGATCATGAAGGCAGATGCTGAGGAGTCCCGGGTTCTGGCGAGCCGGCTGGCCCTGGAGGCAGAGCAGGCGCAGCGAGGGGAAGAGGAGGCCCAGCGGCAGGCCAGTCTCTTGGAAGAGGCCCTGGAGAGTCTGCAGAATGCAGAAAACCCCCACCTGTCCCTGCATCAGCTGCAGTTGTTGCACCGTCTGCCCCTTGAGGCTGTGTGCAGTCTCCAGGCGCAACTGTGCACCTGCCTGCGTACTGTGGAACAGGTAATAGACAAAGCAGATTCTCGCTTGTCATATTCTTGGGCGAAGGGTAGCCATAGAAGGTAGGACTGATATATATGTGTAAGGGGAGTTACTCGAAGTCGTCATTCTCACAGTCCCTCCCTCTTTGCGTTTCCCACAGGCAGTATTCAGGAAACAGCGGCTGTGCTGTGCAGTGTGTGGTGAGCTGGGCTCAGTCACGTTACCTTGCCAACATGGGCTGCTGTGCGAGGGCTGTGCCAGCTCTAGCGAGTGCCCGGCCTGTGCGGAACACCAGCAGGCGCTGGGTCTGCCTTCCTGACTTTGCCCCAAACTCCACAGCTCACCAAATTTCTGACTGTGCCCTGCGTCTTTCGTCAGATTTAACCCAGAGGTTTCCCTTGTGGTGGACTGTTAACGGAACAAGACATACAGCTACATTAACAGGTGTTGCATTGGTTACTGAGGATGGACACCTGTCTACATCTCTCCTCATTACCTGGTCGTACTGGTTTTTAGTCTGGGCAAGGAATTTGCCAAGGAGTCAAAGAACAAAAACAACAGGGGTGCCAGCACTACATGCTTGGACTCCTAAGGACAAGACTTGTTTCTCTCAAGTTTCTCAATGTTATAATAAACAATTCTCATAAAATTTTAAATGTTAAACCTGTCAGGTTTAAGCTGTATTGCCTTTAACTGGAAAACTGAGGAAAAACACACAATCAAACTGGGCATATTCAATCATTTATTTAGCTTTTTATTATATTTTTCCATTACAAAACGACATCTGTTTGCCGATACAAACGGGCATGGCATTCAGTATTTCTTTCCTCCCCTACCTTCTGGATATTGTATACGTACTAATTTTTTTTATATTCCAGTCAATATTCAGTATCTAAAGGTGTGGAATATTGATCAATGATCTATGAATCTTCCTCTACATAACTGAACACTCAAGAAAACTAGTCGCATGCTTGTCATGGTGCAAGGTGACAGATGGGACCTACTAGCCACCCACTGCTGGACCTCTGGGTCACACTGTGGGGACGGTCATCGCCATCTGCCCTAGAAAACTGGACAGCAGTGTCTCATCATGTCTTTTTGTTTTTGTATAGAAAAATAAATTTTTATATTTTTGGATTAACATGCTCTGCTTTGTTTTACAATCACTGGCATTTGTATCATGACTGGTTCTCTGCACTTTAAAAAGACAAGATGTGTGAAACGTCCAAGGTACCAGCAGGCTTGTGATTGAGGCTTCCTGTTCTAAAACTGGGGAAGGTGATGGGCTGCTTTTCAGTGGTAATCGACACTGTAATCCTCAGGAAGATGCGACTTGTGGTATGGGTGGCAGCGTTTGTACTGCATCACAGAATCACAGGCAGGGACTGTTGTCTAACTTCACGCCTGCTTGATAAGAGGTAAAAACAATAACATGGAGAAAACAAAGATGATGCTAACAGGCTTTTTCTAACAGCTCTCCGACTGGGTTCCACCCTCTACGTTTGTTCCACTTCCAGGGATAACTTCTCCTTCTGTCGGCGCAGTTTGACGAAGGCCTGTGCATCACGGTCTGCCTTCCTAGCCTCCAGCAGCTTCAGGATGTTATCCTCTAAAATCAAGCACCACAGATCCTTACTGCACACTCCCACTACAGAACCTCACAGATAAACATAGAGTGAGCTTGTGTAATGTGACCTTCACAAGGCAGTAGACAACACTGGACAGGACATCTGTCCCTTGCAGGACACACCCAATCCCACACTAAAGACAATTTAGAGACTCTACTTAGATGCATGTTTTTAGAGCACAAGAGGAAGTCTGTACGTATACAGAGTGGAATGGGTGTTTCAACATCAACCCTTGAGGGCTACAATGAGACCTTACGAAGGGCCTGTTTAGCCTTTGTTTTAAAATGGATCTTGGGCGATCAGATCGCAAGTGGACATTGCTAAATACAAGTGTAAACGACCACCAAGAAGCAGTTATCTCACCACTCAAACCACTGGGTGAAGTGGCCTTAGATGTACAAATGAAGGCAACACTTGTATCAAGCTTATCCAGTTACTGCATTGCTCACAATGTCACACAGCAATGTGAGAAGACAGAGCAGCAATTTCCTGCAGTGGGATGTGTGTTCCTTGTCAGCTATCTCCAAATCTCAGTATACCTTACATGACCATGCTGTAGGGGAGAAGACGGGGGACGTACCGTTTGGTTTTGGGTGCATGAGGGGCAGTCTTATTTGTGTGGGGGCCTGAGAGGCTGTGCCGCTCACCCCTGGTATTGCCCTCAGGGATAGGAAAGCCTCTCCCTCGAAGTCATCGCTGCCAATGGTGTCGTGATCTAGCACTGTTAACAGCAGAGAGGCCCCTGCGGCGTTGCACTGCTCCAGTGAGACCAGGCTGCGCGCGAGGGAGAGAAACGGCACGCTCATGCTACGCCGACATCAGCAGTGTCAGCCCATCTTTCCCGTCTCTTTCGGAAGCTGAGCTCTTCTGATGATGTGATAAATCTGATTCTTTTATTTTTTCTCAGAGCTTCCTGTTACAAATTGATTATCTGTCTGCACATGTGCAGAAGCATAATATAAGCCTAGAACATTCCAAATTACATATTATATCCATGAAGAGATTTTATAAGAGACTCATTCGTACATCAAAACTCTGTTCTAAAGTTTTTTGCAATGCCTGTTGCACCCCTGTTAGGTCCATGATGCCGCTCAGGCTGCTATTTAGAAAGGTCAGCTAGGGACCACCTGGATGGACGTACAATTCAAAAGCCTCTTCAAAGAGTGGGTTGAGTTCACGGTTCTTGATTTGTGTGCGGCGATGCTCCACCTCAGGGAAAACGTGCCGTGGTTCCAGGGAGAGCTGTACAAATGGGTCGCTAAAACCTGAAATGGACCATGGGTCATGAGTTCTCTGACACATACCATTGGAATAAAATAATTAGGGCAATTCCAAGAAGAGGTCCTTTTGATGTTGATAAAATGCTATGTATTTCTAATGTAAATTAATGCATAAATTTTGAGGAATGTTCAACCCAAAAGATTACATAAAAAGATACGCAAATTGCCTCCTTGATGCCAAGCTTGTCTATACTCTGAGGCATGTCACATCCATAATGCTGGTATTGCCCATTAACAATCCACATGCAAGTGTTTATAAAGCCATCTCATGTTAAACTCAAGTCCTCTCACCATTGGAGTCCATGGGAATGAGGTTAACAGCGTTAAGCACCTCGATGTGCAGCTTCTGGTCTGATCTCTTGTAAGAGCTAATCAGGGTAACCGCTCCATATTTCTCACCACTGTAGTCCTTCTGTAAAAGAGGTGATTCACCCGAGGACATGGCTGATTGGCATCCTGTGTAACTTTATGGTCAGATTTGATCCCAACAATCCCCCGTAAGTAAGAGACTCTCATACCTGCTCCCGCACCTTCTTCTCCATGAACTTATCAATCAGCTGACAGGTGTTCAGGGAGTTCAGCCCTAGATGTGCTTTCAGACTCTGCACAGAATAAGACGAGATAACATTAATAAATATTAATCCTGAGGTTAGTTAACAAGCAATTTGTTGGTCATTAATGCAGCTTATCTCCTCACACCATACTCCATATACTCTTAAAATACAAGGGTACTATTGAAGAAGAAATGCTGATGTACTGCACATCAGCCTTACCTCACCTTAAACTGATCGGAATGCAGTGTATCCAGGGACAGACCGTTCCCTTCGGCATGAAAACACTGCTCTAGAGACTGCAAGAACAGCAGAGGTCAGTATCCAAACTCCATTAGGAACACATACATGAACATACATGTAGAAAACATGTATGAAGTCCTAGAAACTGTTCCTATGGCTACCCGTATTAGTCCTTTTACAAGAAAATACCTGCAGGGTGTAGTGTAATCTCTGGTAGAACTCTGTCACTCCACTCTTCTGCCGGGACACTTGGTCCAGGATCTGTACAGAGTTAGTCCATAGTGGAGCCAAAAGGCTGATTCAGTGGGAGAGCGAGAAGAGTAGAGAGGTCACTGATGAAGTAGCCTGTGATGCAGTAACAGAAAACTAGAAATACTGGAATAAAATTAACTGGATACATGTGACCTTACAAATTTATTCTGTACCTGTTGAAGCTCTCTTGCACCAAATTCTCATTCATAAATTTCAGCTCATTTTCCAGATACCCCATCAGAGGGCGTACAGCCTGGAATGCCAGTCCCAGTGAGGATGAAAAAGTCATTAATAAATCATTAAATGACTCAGTTCAAAGGTTTGCTATTTTATATCTTTAAGGCCATGTTGGTGTCTTGCATGCTAAAGTGAGCTTATGGGATGACAGGGAAGAGTGTATATGTGCATGTGAAATTGCTCTCAGTTATGGTCACGCTGATGCTCCTTACATCTTCCGTGGACGTGCAGGAGAACTTGCGCCGGGTCGCCATGCTCAACACATGCTTCTCTATGTCTGAACGCAGCTAGAATCAAAAAGCATAGAGCATTTAAAAACATAGTTTTGGGCAAATCATCATCTGATATTACTGTGTGAACCACTGATACAGATGCCTTCATGGTCACACATGGTCTAAATTGTTTCGTCTGGGTTTTCATTATCGTCCAAAATTCCAAACAGATTTTAGCGAAGGGTCCTCATACCTGCTTCCCTAGTGTCTCCAGAGCCAAGCGGATCTCCCGGGTCAGAACACTCTGGGTGTGCTGCAGCTGAGATGGCAGGGTGTTGTTGAACTGCATCTCCTTGATGACGTGGTCCGTGCGCTCGCGTAGCCCGCCCCAGTTCAGCTGCTGGGGCAGACGGGTCAACACTGTGCACAGGTACTCCAGGTCGTTCACTACCACGCACAACTAGAAGAATAAGAAGCAGAGGAGGGTTAGGGTCACGCGCAGAACATCTGATTACAAGCCTCTGATGAAAAGGCACATTTCTTGGTTTGCAGGCACAGACTCTCACAAGTGTTTGTTTCATGTTGTTGGCAACAAGAACTGTACAGACACTGCGGAGGACAGCAGGGCAAAAGGATTCCAGCCCCCTCACCATATTGACAGCTGTTCCAGGGTCAGAATTCGCAGAGAGCTCTTTCACCCTCTGCTTTATCAGATGACAGTATGTCACCGCAATCTTACAAATGTCCTGCACATAGGTACAAATAAATAAAACACAGTGTAAATTCTCCACAACAGACAGAACTCTGACGCCATCTACATTAATCCCTGGCGTACCTCAGTCAGTTTGACCATGAGCATGAAGCCCTCCTCGGGGTCGGGCCAGCCCAGATGTTCCCACAGCTGGCAGATGGGCTGCAGGCAGGCAGCCAGGTCCACCGCAGATGAGCTGTGCTTCACAGGCACCATGCCTGTCTGCAGGGGCTGCAGCTACAGGGGTGAGCATGGGTGAGACGGGGGTGACACGTGAGGAAGAGGGATGTTAGAGAACCCGACAGAATGTAAACATGACTGTGAATGTGGGATAAAAGTACTAAAATATACCATATCTAGTTGTACTGCCCTCTGAACCCTCTCCAGGGTTGTATTATAAGCCTTGTTCAGCCAGAAGGGCAGAGCATCACGGAAACACTCCTGGAAGTCTGTCAGCTCCAGCAGTTTGGTCCTGCAGCAGTATCCACCAGAAAAAGACAGACACCATGTCCACCTCTAAATCCTCTGATCAAGTCACTCTCTGCTAGTATTACGAGGTGCACAACTACTGCTCTTCTATATGGGATAGGGATGTTTTATTTAAATGGGCCACTGATCTGCATAATGAGGTGCAAAGGGTGATGACCTCTTTTGTAGAAAGGCCTTGTCCTTGTGGATGGCTTTGAGGTTGAGGTAGACTGGGAACAAGCTATTGGCCAGAGCCTGGTCCATGTGCGTGTCCACTTGGCCCATGGTGACCCGCACCTCAGTCGCCAACTGATAATGAGGCAGGGGGATATGAGATCAGAGGGAATCACAAAAGGGCACAAGGAAAGGAAAAGACAGAATGTATGAAGAAATTACATAATTATCTACAATCAAAAATGAACTGCGCAAAAAAGGCAAGCAGTCACCTCTCTTGGCAGCATAAATATTTTATCAAAAACCGTTATAGTTCTCTACTGTGATCACATTACAAATATTTGTGTCTTGCATGGATGAAATTTCTTTTTTACTGTATTGTAGCTAGTGAAACATAAAGGTACTAATTGTAATGTAATTGTAATTGTTATAACATAACATAAGTCTTGGGGACAAAAATGGGTGAAACCCAAATTGCACATTTGGTCCATTTTTCCCCCCAAATATTAATTAAGTGTATTAATTGAACCCACTGCCTTGAGAGCAATGTTTCCCAATCCGGTCCTCATGGACCCACAGATAGTTGACATTTTTGCTCCGGTAAAGAAGACTGTCTGGCAGGGAACTCGGACGAAGAGAACTTAGGTGAAAGCCTAAGTCAAATCTTACCACAGGTTAAGTATTGTGAAATTGGCCCTTATAGTGGGCACTGCCACTCACCAGGGAGTCCAGCTCCTGATAAACCACAGTGAACAGGTCCAGCTGCACAGCACTGCGGGAGGCAAGGTGAGCACACACTGTGAGGCCTCTGAGAGGGTCATCCTCCGGAACCGCTAATGCGAGGCACGAGTGTCCATAGGTGGCCCCACCTGACAAAGACCTTGTTCCACACGTCCTTGCTGAGCCGTATGTCTTCTCGCACTTCTTCAATCAGGCTGGACAGAGCATTCACTGTTTCCGATATTTCCTTGAGAAAGAGTGGGAAGAACAGGATTTAGAAAATGGGAAGTAAACAAATAGCGCAACAACAAAAAAAAAACAAGGCGGTGAAAACCTAGCAGCTGCTACATGGATGAATAGAGCTCCAGAATTTCATAAGGAAAGATAACAGAAAGAACGAAATAAGAATTTGAAAATTACTTTTGTCATAGGCTGGTGAAGACCCTTCTTAATGTTGAACCATTCCTGTGTGCCCACCTGTAACTCAAAGATAAACTTGTAATTTCAACAGATATGTCAAACACAACACCAATCACGTACTGACCTTATCTGTTCATTGCCAATCCAAAGGGAATGTTAGTCATTTCAATCATTTATATTAAAAGCATTTTTTTTCTCAAAAATCATTGCAATTACTATCATTGAAATGGATTTATCTTTGCATTTTACCTTCTTGTATGGGATAATAATCAAGATATAGTAGCAATGCCATAAAGAGACACATTCACCTGCACAGCATCGATGACTTCCTCATGCAGGTCAAAATGAGCAGGATTCAACTTCTGAAAGGCCCTCGTCTTGCAAATCTGAACTAGAACTCTATCACAAAAAATATATGTAGCATCAGATATGCGCATTGCACTTTACTGCAAATAGAAAACACAGTGATATTTCTGCTGTGTTGCATCCAACTCTTTGCTCATGCAGCTTATGCCAGGGTACCTGAGCAAGGTCTGAAGACGAGGGGTATCTTTGGGGGTCGGGGGGATGATGTCTCTGTACTTGGAAACCAGACACAGACCGTATTGCAGGAAGCCATGCAGAGAGTCTCCAAGTTCCTGTTTCTAAACATAAAAACAATCACATAACTGATTGTCATAACTGATACATGGAATATTTAAAGTCAAGTCAAGTAAACTATTACACAGGTCTACAAGGTACCAAGGCTTTTTGAATGGATTTAGAGTATTTTGAGGGTGCTGAATTAAAAAAAATCCCATGACTTTTGCTGAAATGGTTCTAGTTTTTGAGATAATGGACATCCATGCATTCCTCCAATGCATGTGTGAATGTGTGTGTGATAACAAATGCAATAGCTTTTGGTCTGTCTTTTGACTCTTTAACAGTATCATAGGTAATGAAATATCCCATACAATTATTCTGTATTTCAATTTGTAGGCCTGCAATGCTATAAAAGCAACTTTTTGAAGCCAGAATTCAACTGTGAATTGCAGAAGAAAGAAGTCGGCTACAGTTTAAGTTTGTCAACCCAGTCTTGGTTTATACCCAAAAAGTTCTGTCTAAATAAGTATATAAATACATGTAAACATTATGACTTGATGGTCCTAAGATTCGTAAACTCATGAACGATTCCAATTTTACCAAATGCATGAATGACACTGAGGTTTCGGCCTGGAAGAGTTTTGTCTCTTGTAAGAACTACTTGGGTAATCACAGAGCAGACAATTATGAAGAACTGGTGCAAGATATGCTTGCTAACTTCAGAAATTTGGGAGTTAGCCATTTAAACAGATTTCCAGATAACCTTGGAGACTTCAGCGAGGAACAAGGAGAGAGTTTCCACCAGGATATGAAGGCTACAGAGGAGAGATATCAAGGCAGATGGGACATACACATGATGGCAGACTACTGTTGGAGTCTCCAATGTGATTGTCTTGATGACATATATAAAAGGAAATCGCATAAACAGCATTTTTTGAAGCATTGACATTAATAACAATTAACAACTAATTAATACTATATTAATCCAATCATACATAACTTTTTCCTGTCACCGTTAGATATTTTTAATTTATTTTTTTGTATGATATTAGACTGTTTACTTACTAGTTGTAACTAAAATAAAAATATTCTTGCAATTCTGAATGCTTTTCAAACATCTTGCGTTAATTAATTAATTAACTATTAAATATCTCAGACACTACAGACAATCTGGCAAAACCAAAGTCATATTCTTAATCAGCACCATAAACGTAATATAAAACCATTCAGACATTGTTGGCACCAAAATCACTGTATACCAGTGTTATTGTTCTCTCTGAGTTATGGATTTATTCACATTATGCAAACAATTCCTGTTCAATTACTAATAATTTTAGGGGAGGAGAGAAAGTAGGAAGACTTCAACCTATATTTACCACTTAAAATAAACGTAAAACATTCCACATTAGACAAACAACGAAACAGGCATGCTTCACTGGGAAATTAGTGCATGGAAGTACTGTGCATGCTCAAAAATAGCTGTACAGCACATGTAAACAGTAAACAGATGTAAATAGTATTTCATTTAGTGTAGATTTTATTTATGTATTAACTGACCTGTTGATATGGCAACTCCTGCTGATCCCAGTGGTATTCGATGCTGGTAAGCTGCTTAAACAATACTGTGGGATCCACCTCTAGACTCTGATACAGTTTGCTGTAAGCTACCCACTTCCTGCAAAGGCAGATGCAATCATACTACCATCAATCTGCACACTGGAACTAAGCTGCTCTCTACAAATGATCACACGCAGAACTCACGCCAGATCTTGCAGGAAGGGGGAAAGGTCATTCTGCGTGGCGAAGAGCTCTAGCAGAGTCTGGCCCTGTCCACACAGTTCCCCTTTCCAAGGCCCACTGCTCTGCTGAAGAGAGATTAACAGCTTGTGACACTTAGCCAACCACAACTGAGGTGACCTCATGGACAGATATCCAGAGTGAGAGCTGCAGCGTCATACCTGCTGCTTTGAGATGTGGGAATGTACAAACTGCTGCAAGATGCCAGAGTAGTTCATGTACGCACTGCGACCGGTGGTCAGCGCGTTGGCCCTCTGGCGATGACAAAACGTCTCAGTCAAACCGTCAAGGCTTACACAATGTTACACTGACATTTTGCAAATCTAGCCGTGCAATTCTAGTAACAGTGCTCTGAAACTGAAGATTGCTGACCTCCCTGTGGATGAACTTCAGCTGCAGGTGACATTTTCCTCTGTTAGGGTAGGTCTCAGTCCGTGGCTCAAGAACATACCAGCAGTCCTCTGTGCAATGCAGATCCTGCACAAACACCGGGTGAACAAGATGCTGAATGTATTGTAAGGAATTACACAAAAGAATTACACCAGAAGATCATTTCAAAAAGTACTCAGCTGAATCATCTAGGAGAAGTAAACATGAGAGAACAAAAAGTATAATCATTTCAATTACTTATCTTTGAAGCTTAAGCGGAACAAAATAGATGGTTGCTGTTATGAGTATGTGTCCTGTTGCATAATGCGCAACAGTGTCGTAAATCTGCAATGTTCACATTCTACAGCACCTTCAGCTTCAGCACGATGTTTCCCAGGAAATCATCTTGGCCTTTCTCCTTCTTTGCGTCTTTGATCATTCTGAAAAGGAGGGAATTCAATCGATGAACAGGTCTTACGGAAAGGTAATATAACTAGAATTTTAAATTCATGAGAGCGTTGAATCAAAATGGGAACATCATTTTGCAATTATATCAGTACAGTGTAAACCAAGCATAAAATCCTGCGTGGCTGAATTTCTTAAGGAAGTACAAAGAGCAATGTGTAACTCAAGAAAACCTCTTAATTCCATGAAAGTTGGATCTTATCTCCTCCAGCTTTTGTCCTAGGGTGATCTCCTCATCCTTATCACTGAAAGACATAGAAACAAAGATAACTGAAAGTTATGGACTTAAAGGAAAAGGGTCTCACTGGGAAAGAGGCATATGACTCCCCAAATTAAATGTGGAAAAGATGCAGAGAAAGAAGATAAAGAAGAAGATGTCTGAAATATGTCTGTTTCTCTGTATTTCCTAACCCACACAGAATGAAAGCTGAAGTTCCTTTACCAGCTGAAACAAGAAGGTGCAGCCCTTAGTATTGTGGACAAACCGACTCTCTCTAGTACAGAGAATGAAGAGAACAGGACACGAAATACAGAATGAACCTATGTGTGGGATATTAGAAAGAGAATGGACAGCAGCATATCACATGGGCAAACTGAAAGGTGAGAAACCATTTGCCAGGCACAGCAGACTTACAACATCTCCAAGTATAAACTTGCATCTTCAGGGTGATCCAGTTCCCTGCCAGAATCAGAGAAAAGGTAATCAGCACAGTTTCAAGTACACAGCACAGCAAAATATATACAAGCACAAAATTAAAGTGAATCTTCACATACTATGTAAAAACGATGACAAGGTACACTAAATGAACAAACAAGAAACAAAAAAATCACTTCTCTAGACGCTAAAGTATGGAGTAATTGTATCTAAGACGAATAATGATCCTGAAATGAGACATTAAATTATGCAATAATGAACAGTTCCCCTTCCTCAAATAACATGTAGAAACTATCATTAAGGACAGGATCACAGAAAGGTTCATATGAAATTAAATGAAGACCAAAGAGAAAATAAAAACTGTTCATTTCAGGCCCACACATTACGAATGTTTGATTCCAGATGGGGTTCAGCGTCTGCGTTTTGACATCTGTTTGGTACATGTTCTTTGATGGCATTTTGTCCTTCAGCACAACTTTCGAGGACTTTGCCTGTGAGCTCTTTTTGCTCTCCTCCTTCTTGTGTATGATGGTCAGCAGACAGTAAGGGTCACTGAGACCTGCCCCATAGAAAGACCAGAAAGAATCGTGCTAATGATTTACAACAGTGAAGGGCCAAGGCTTGAAATCCACAAATGTTACTACTCATTGACAAGTTTAATCCATTTCCCACTGGTTACTTCATTAGACTCAACTGGGTGCAACCAGACTATAATTCACAATGCCCAGTAATCTAGCCCACTATAGACTTTGAATCAACGATACTCCCAATGAAACCTCGCAGTACCATTGATTAGGAAAGACCCCACTTGTGTGCATAAATGACATACCACTGATGTCTTTTCCCAAAACGTCTTTAGCTTGCTTCACAGTGACCATCAGACAGTAAGCTGGATGCTGTATATCAGAATATGCAAAACTGTTTACCATTTCTCCACAGTATACGATATTAAGAAAATAAGCATCGTTGGCAGGTTTGCTAGTCTTTTAGAGTGCATGTCCTCACCTGCATCGCTCGTACACTGTCTAAAAGGCTCTTGTGTTCATCCTCTGTCATGTTCAAGGCCTTGGAACGGAGAAAGACTTGTCCATAATGCACAATGTTAATGAAACACGCACAGATGTTGTATTAACCCAATGTGTATGACTCCATATATAAAGCCAGCTCAATCATTTCTCAGTTAAAATAAATCATTGATTTCTGGTTAAAAAAATGCTATATGAATATTTTGAGAACTAGGGGCAGGTGGAGAAAATCATTGTGAACCAGGTAATCCTCCCCCCTGCAACTTAATGCCCCCACTTTGTGTGGCAAGGAATCCTACTTGGCTTTTGCGTTGCCTTAAATGCTCACCTCCATTATGTAGCGTTGGAGCTGAAGATCGTCAAACTGCTCCTTGATAGATGTTTTTCCCAGCCTGTGAGTTATGGTGTAGAGCAGCTCTTTATACAGAGGTTTTAACTGAGAAGGATGATAAAATGAAGTCCAAGTGAGAACACTGAGAACAAGTCAGATGGCAACACATTTTCTGCCACTTGCTGAATGTGTTTTTATTTGGTTAGTTCTGCATTCTGGTCTGTCATTTTTCAAGTCCAGACAAATTGCAGTTACATGAAATTACAGTAAGTTTAGTAAATTAGTGCTTTTCTTTTTCACTCTAGGATTTTGACCAATCCATCATTACGTACGTACACACAATCCAAATATAGCAAACCATATTAAATCTAATTATATTTCATCTTTATATATGTGTAGCATGTACATACACCATATGGACAAAGATATTGGGACACTTGGCCATTAACACCTACAAAAACTTTTATGATATCCATAGGCATCAATATGGAGTTGGTTCCCCCTTTGCAGCTATAATACCTGCCACTATTCTGGGAAGGCTTTCCACAAGATTTCGGAGTGTGTCTGTGAGAATTTTTCCCCATTCATCCAGAAGAGCGTTTGTAAGGTCAGGCACTGATGTTGGACATGTTCATCCCAAAGGTGTTCAATGGGGTCGAGGTCAGGGTTCAGTGTGAACCAGTCAAGTTCTTCCACACCAAACTCACCCAACCATGTCTTTATGGACCTCGATTTGTGCACTGGAGAACAGTCATGCTGGAATATAAAAGGTCCTTCCCTTTCCACAAAGTTCCATAAAATTGTCCAGAATGTCTTCATATGCTGAAGCATTAAGATTTCCCTTTGCTGGAACAAAGGGGCCCAGCCCAACCCTGGAAAAACAGCCCCATACCATTATCCCTCCTCCACCAAACTTTACAGTTGGCACAATGCAGTCAGGCAGGTAACATTCTCCCGGCATCTGCCAAACCAAGACCCATCCATCAGACTGCCAGACAGAGAAGCGTGACTCGTCACTCCACAGAACACATTTCCACTGCTCCAGATTCAAATGCCGGCGTGCTTTACACAACCCCATCCAACGCTTGCCATTGCATTTGATGTAAGGCTTACATGCAGCTGTTCCGCCATGGAAGCCCATTCCATTATGCTCCTGGTGTACAGTTTTTATGTTGGAGTTAATGCCAGAGGAAGTTTGGAACTCTGTAGTTATTGAATCATCAGAGTATTGTTGATTTTTACGCACTATTCATCTCAGCACTTGGTGACCCCGTTCTGTTACTTTACGAGATCTGACACTTCGTGGCTGAGTTTCTGTTGTTCCTAAATGCTTCCAATTTGCAATAATAACACTTACAGTTGACCATGGAATATCTAGTAGGGAAGAAATTTCACGACCTGACTTATTGCAAAGGTGGCATCCTCTGACAGAACCATGCCTGAATTCACTGAGCTCTTCCGAATGACCCATTCTTTCACAAATGTTTGTAAACCTGACTGCATGGCTAGGTGCTTGATTTTATACACCTGTGGCATTGGGTCTGAATGAAACACCTCAATTCAATGATTAAGAGGTGTGTACCCTTACTTTTGTCCATGTAGTGTACCGATATGTGTGTAATATCAAACCCTTTTTCCTAATCAGAAATTTGTGGCTGTACATCAGAAAAGCCTAACAGTTTAATACTCCAGTTTTGAATTACAGTTGGCCTTCCGTATCTGTGGGATCTACATCTACAGAGTCAAACAACCATAGATCGGAAATATTCTTTTTAAAAAAAAAAAAAAAACTCCATTTAGTTCCGAGAAGCAAAACTTGAATTTACTTCATACCAACCATTATGAGGAATCCACATAAATGAACTGATAGTGTAGTTCTGGATGTTGGTGAGTGTTAAAATTGTGTTGCGTGTGTGTTTGTTTGTTAGCGTGGTTTTGTTTTTTTTCTCTGTTTCTTGTTCTGTTTTCGCGGCTTGCTTCTTTTGGTTGGGTTTTTTTTGTACATATTGAGTCTTCTTTTTTTTCATTGTTCGCTTTTTACTCTGGTCTCCCCATTTCAGTGTCATTTGTCTTTTCTCTGGTTTTATGGTTACTCTTGGGCTCGAGTATTTGGGATGTTGTTTGTTTGTTGTGTGCTATTTTTGCCCTATTTTTTCTTGTGGTGTTTAGTCTGTTTTTGTTTTGGTATGTGTATGGGTTCCTTTAACCCTTTTCTCAGAGATATTTGGTGCGGTTCATAGTTTTGTGATATGATTTTAGTGTTGGCATGGTTTTTGTTTTTGTTTCGGTCTTGCTTCTTGTGTCTTTTCTGTTGTTCCTGTGTGTTCTCCTTTTCCTTTGATTTCTTTGTTGTCTGCTGTCTGATTTTAGTCTTTATTTTATCGTTTTGAAGTAACTCTCTCTGGGGTCTCCTGTATTTTGAGTTAGCTATGTATGCCTGTGTCATGTGCTTTTTTATGCTGGTCCCTTTTTCATGAGGGAGGGTTGTCGCTTTTTTCTTCGTGCGCTTGGTTGTTGTTTGCCGTTTCTTTGCTTGCCGCGTGTCGCCGTGGTGAGCTGGCCGGAGTGGGCGATTTTAAGACTGGCGTTTGGTCTCCTGCATATTATTAGTGTTTTACAGTATTTTGACATGACACAGACATTCTTTCGACACTCCGTGTCTGATCTGGTGCTGTGACCGCGTGTTTTTGTGTGACGCTGTCTGTGGTGTTTGCCTTCTGTATTTGAATTAGTGCTGAGTTTTAAATATTTTGGTTTGTTGTTTTATCATCCTGTTTTTCTTTTTTCCCCGCTCTGGCCCAGCATTTTTGGCTTTGGTGTGTAGTTTGTGTTTTATTTTTTTTACATTTTTTTATTTTTTTTATTTTGATTTGATTGAGGAACACATGCTTTTCAGTTTGTTTAGACAGACTTTTTTGATTTCTTTTTGTTTTTCGCTTTTTGTTGTTTCCTGCTGTCAAATTCTCTGTGTTGCCATCTTTTGGAGTTGCTTTCTTGTTCATCTAACACCCTGAGTCTTTCGTGGTTGTCGTTGTTGATGCACTTTCCATTCAGTTTTTTTTTCTCTGGCTTTCTTTGTGTTTTTTTCGTGTCCGTTGGTGGTTTTTTCTGTTTCTTGTTTTTTGTTTATTTTGCGTGGGTTGTTTTTTCTTTTCGTATTGCTGACTGCTGTTTTATGTGATGCATACGTTGGTGTGGTTTATGTCAACTTTCCTTGCACTTGCTGTGGGAAAGCAACTTTGTTGGGGTCGTCTCGATGCCTCGGCTCTTTTGCGGTTTCATGTATTCATCGTTTTGATTTGGTCCCTTGTCACACGCCTATATATTACTGTAGTGTATATCAATTTCTCTTCCTCTTACTGTTAACTCGCATTTGGGTTGTAGAGTTCGTCATTTTCCCTGTTCATTCCGACATCTCTTTTTTTAGCTGTTTCTTGGGACCCGGGTTATCAGCATTGGTCCGAATGGCGAAGGTTTGCCTGTTTCTTTGTCTGAGTCATGGTTTGTGTTGCTTGTTTGTTTGGTGCGTCTTTGTTTGGTTGGTTTGTTTGTTCCTTCAGTCAGGCCTGTGTCTGTTTGGTGGCGGTCGTTTTTCTTGATTCTGGTTGTTTGTGTGGGTGTGTTTGATTCTACTTCTTGCTTTCTTTCAGGTTGCTTGGCCGGCGGCCGTCAGTGTTTGTTTTTTGTTGTTGTTTGTGACTGTTTCTGTTTCTGCCTTTTCCTTTTATCTCTCTCTCTTTCTTTTGCTCTCGCTCTCTCTCTGTTTCACTGTTACGTTCCCACTCAAACACTTTTTATCTTATGTTGTTTTGGATCGCCATTTAAATCAGAGAGACTTCATACAATTTCCTTCTGTGACTTTTTCTGTTCTCTGTGCCTTTTTTTGCTCCTCCTGTATGTGCTGGCTGTCAGAGGCACTACCCCTCCAAAATATTTATAACAATCTTAAATTCTGGTTCATCATAAACTTTTGCGGCATCCACACTAATGAGAATGTGCATTGTGCAATAACTTGTCACAGCAAAAAGAAAATGGGCACAGGACAAATGTAAACAAAGGAAAACTTAACAGCATGCAAATAGAGTTTGCACAAAGGAAAGGATTAAGTGGCACTGTTCTTGACACATGGCTCCTGTCTGCTTGGGAACATCTGATAATCCCCCAGAATCATCTTAAATCTGCAGCCATTGAAATAGAGATTGTGTCTGACTTGCTCGGCATGCCGCCATTGCAACCCCTGACCAGGAGAAGCGGTGCAAAGATGAGACGAGCTCCTGCAGCACACACACCCAGCCCCAGAGAATAGGCCTGTAGGTTCTTCTTTGATCGTGAATGCATATCCAACAGAGTAAGGAAATTAAGACTTCAAACACAAAATAAAATTAATACAAATAATTCAGCCAATTTTATTCACTGCTTGTTTCTAGGAAAGATTATAATTAAATAAGTTTCATATTTTTGAGGCTATAATAAGTACTGCATTAAAACGATTAAAGTTTGATTTAAGTTGTGAAAGTTGTGGTACTGTATAGTCCATCCATTCACCTTCCAAGCGCTTGTCTAGGACAGGGCTGCAGGGGGCCTCGGAGCCTCGTCCTGGCAGCACCAGGCACATGGCAGGGGTACATCCCGGCAGGGTGCCGTCCCATCATAAGGCACAAATATGCTCAGAGAAAAAAAAATTAATGCCTAGTCTTTGGACCGTAGGAGGGAATCCGCAAAACACAGGGAGAACAGACATACTATCAACTGAGCGGCCATGCCTTCTGGTATATTCCAGTCATCTTTAAATAAAATTAAATAATAAGATTCAGAATTGAATGCACTGTTTTTTTTTTGTTTGTTATAACTGTCCTTATACCGGTTTTAATGAACAAAAAATTAAAAACACGTTCAATAGAAAAGCAACATTCAAATAAATCCTAAAATAAAGAAAACCCGTAAGAAAAGCAAAATTAGCATGTCCGCCCGCTAGTGAGAACATTCTGGAGACGCACGCGCAGGCGTCGCGCGAGCCGGAAGTGCAGGTGCTTCTGCTGGCCCGTTACGTGGGCAGCGGAGCAGCGCTGCAGCCTGAGCGATCCGGGCCGCTCGGTGACGCTTTCGCCAGACCGCCGCTAACAGCCGGTTACCCTCACTAACATGGCTCTCAACAAAAACTGCTCGGAATCAGGCGGCGTCATCATCAACAACAGCGAAAGGTAGCCAGCTAACCGATTGGCTTCTTAACAGGGTCTCAGTTACATCCTCTCATCCCGACAGCTAAACGGCTAATATTAATATGCAAAACGTTCCTCTACAATTTATGAATTGTGATCCCGTTCTTTTAAACATTTTCTCAACGTTGAAATAGTTAATTGACGAATAAAATATCTGTTTATGTGTTTACGTCTTTTAATAGAATTACACAATCATTGTTGTGCCTTTATAATGTAAGGAATTGATTTATTAAAGTGCGTTTATTTGGTGCTATTTTTTAGACGCTAAAAACCAGTTCCTGGTTTCTGGTTAAATAACCAGATATTACCTGCTCTATTTTCAGCTACATATTATACTATTGGCTGTACACGTTGCACTATGTTTACACATATCATGCTCTGTTAAATACGTAAACAGGTGGGCCTCTGCAGTGTTCTTGCTGTAGATGTTTCTAAAAGTACATACAGTTTATCAAAATTCTTGGCTTGTTTCAGATCACGTTTAACTCGACTAACGTGAGATCTTCTGCGCCAGGCTAGTCCCTTTTCTCTGTCGGTGAACCTTTTGTATTTGGTTTTCAAATACTACGCAATGCCCTGTCTTTAAATCATCATCTACGTAACTTGGGTTTCTGACTTGTAGGTAGTTAGGTGGCTTACTCGTATATTGTAATAAGTCACTGTGCAGTACTTGAAGACACGGGAGCAGATTAACTTTTCTTGGGGCCCTGGACTGACATGGCTAGGGCCCCCCCTAAGAGGACCATTTTTTTGGAGTCGAAAAAGAAACGACAGGGAATTAAAAACGATGGAACATCAATAATATGCTAACCAAATAGCGTGGTGCCAGCGGTAAAACTTACCTTTCAGGGTGAGAGCGGAAGTATGTCGGTAAAATTAGCCGATCGGCAGGATGGGGGTATAACGCCGACGGATCGATCGGCCAAGTTTAAGTTGTCTAACCGTTCCCTCTTTTGCCGTGGTCCTCGGCTATAGCTATAGCTCATCAACATATAGCTATAGCCTAGGATATTCTATGCCTTACTCCGCCCCTGAGGTAAGATTAGTGTTGATTACACATCCGTTTAATCGTGTTCCCCACGTCTTTCCACAATTTTCAGTTGGAACAACCGGTACCGCAAGACTCCACCGTGAAAAAAAGTTGAGGCGTGAAGTATCGAAATAGGAGTAGTCCATTATAACCGCAACATGGGGCAACTTTGTCTATACAGAAAACTAGCTAAAATTGCAAATAAACATATACATTGCTATAACTTAAACGATCATATTATGTTATATCCATAAATGTAACTTCTGGAAATTCTGTCTTAACGGGCCCCTATTCGGGCGTCCCAGGCAGCTCCCTATACGTGTCTTGTGGTATGTCTGCCTCTCTAAAGACATTCTCAATGGTTTTAAATATCTAGTTGTAAATTTGGATTTGACCTCAAATAACTGTAAGGTTGTCTGAATAAAGCATCTAAACAAAGAGTTATCAGAAATACGCAGGTGTGTATTGAAAGAATGTTTTGAATACATCCTCTTTTTAAATCTCAGCATACAACAGCACTATTCTCACTGTCCTTTCACTGTTCATGTTTCTGCAGTGTCTTGATGACATATGAGAATGTGGAACTTGTCTTCAGTGATACAGAAACCCTCCCTGAGGCCTTCAGGAAGAGCAAGAAGGGCAGTGTCTACCTGACCCCATACCGGGTAGGAGAGCGGGAGAGAAGTTTGAGAGGTGGACACCTTAAGAGTAGACAAATAAGTGCAATCCTTGGTATCGCAAGGAATTAAAGGATTTAAAAATAGGCTGTAAGAGAAACTCAGAGTGGCATGCTGTGCTAGTTTAGGAACAAGAGTTTACAGGTTAAGTCCCAAGAGAATCTATCTCACAAAGTTTCCTACATTATGAGGAAACTTAAGTTAAAAGTTGTGTTGCAGATCCATGTTCTGAATATATAATAAACTGAAACTTTCAAGTTAAAAAAAACAAAAAACAAAAACAAAACAAAAGAATGGTATATACCCCAGTATCTGTCATGAGTTAAACAGATACGTAACTGTGTCTCGTATTGTCAATGCAGGTGATATTCCTGGCAAAGGGACGGGATGCACTTCAGTCCTTTATGATGCCTTTCTATTTGATGAAGAACTGTGAGGTAAAGCAGCCTGTGCTTGGAGCCAACTACATCAAAGGAACAGTGAGCGCGGAACCCGGCGGTACGTCGCTGCAGAGTCTCGGCCATTCCGCTTTCAATCAGTCATTGGTTTTTTGTAATTTATGGGATGGTCATTTTTCAGGAGGCTGGGAGGGATCTGCGACCTTCAAGCTGGTTTTCAATGCTGGAGGGGCCATTGAGTTTGGACAGTATATGCTTCAGGTTGCAGCACAAGGTGGGATATCCTGCTGTGATTGCTGAAAAATGGCTGCCTGCTTGGTGATAAATCTCACTTGGCCCTTTGTCGGTTTTCAAAGATTTAGATGCCCCAATTAAAGCAAGCAAAAAACCGATCAAATTAATTTCATGCCTTATATAAACATTTTGTTTTTATCAGTACACTCATGGAGAAATTCTTTAAAACATTAGATATAAAACAATGAATATAAGATACAAAATAATGCATGCCTTTTGTTGGAAACATTGCAGTCTGCTTACTGGCCAGGAGGCAGAAATAAAGCTGGGTGTGTAATACAATACCAGTCAGAAGTCTAGACACACCTGCTTTTAATGCATGTTTCTATTTTAGTTATGTAATATATTCAGCTTATAGTAAAAGGCCTGGAGGCAATGAAGAATGCATAGTGTAGCGCTGAGGTACCAGCGGGCAGTGCGGCAGGTTGGACTGATGCCAGCTCTGTAAATGGTTCTTGGTAGTAGCTTGTGTCGTTGTAAATGTGCCGTGTGTTATGTCACGTGTAGTGTTTAATGTTTATCGTTGTACGTAGTGTGTGTATGTGTGCGTGCACCCACCGTGTATATTGGGAGTAAGCGGGGCGATGGGCACGGTGGGCAGTGCGAGTGCGTGTGGTTGCTTACTACCAATACACACGGTGTGTCCAGATCTTTGACTGGTACCGTATAGTGAATGTGATGAAGCAGCACTCGTTGTGTCCTCTCCAGCTTCTAGAGGCCAGCCAGTGACTGGGGCGTTTGGTTGCTCTTATATGGCCAATGGAGCATTTGCATACCCGCCACCTCCTGCTAATGGGATGTACCCAGCTGAACCTCCTCCCGGCTACTCTTACCCAGGACCTCCACCTCAGGGTACCTGACTGCTTTTCGGTTTGCCTATAGTCATGCTTCCAGGGAATGATGTCATCACATTGTGTCTGTATTGAGTGTTTTCATTTGTTTGCCATTAGCAGGAGCATTCTTCCCTGGGCCTCCTACTTTGAACAGTGCTGCAGCCTACATGCCACCCCCACCTTACTCTGGTCCACAGGCCCCAACCCCTTTTGATCCTGACATTCCCAACACTCCAGCAGGTATGAGATACAGTTGCGGGTTCAGCTAGCTCAGGTTAGGGTCAGTGTGCCCCTTAGCACATACACACAGTCTCTCTCTCTCTCTCTCTCTCTCTCTCTCAGCGGAAGCCAAGGCAGCAGAGGCAGCAGCCAGCGCAAGCTGTGCCCCCCCCCCTCCTCCTCCTCACGTTTACCTGCCACACGTGAGTAAATCCTGTGCCATCTCTCACTCGCACGTACCGTCTGCGGTGTGCCACTGTCACCAGTGTCATCATGCAGTGACCTCTCAGTCCCAGTTCATTATTTCCTTTTGCATTCCGTTTTCAGTTTCACATGAATAAAAAAGTGAAGGCATGAATCATCTGTCTGTCTGCTACCTGGAGGACTGGATTCATCTATTAATTAGGAATATTTATTATTTACATATACTCATTTATCTGATGCTTCTATCCAAAGCCACTTGCATGAAAGGGTCACAGTTCATACTTTCTCCCTAGGACAGGGGTGTGGAAATCTGTTTTTTTTCTAGTTGTCCACAGACAAGTAAACTTAAAAAATCCACTTGTCCGCCAGTTAAATTCTCTTGCCCATAAACAAATAACAAAAGTGAAAAATAGTTTATTTTTTCTGATCTCTTTTATTGATACCAAAACTGCCTTTCATTTTAAAACTGAAAAAGTTCTTTCAGGGAGTAGTATTTTGCCACCTTGCTCTAGAACATTATATAAAAGATGTTTTTTTTTCTTCATACTCACGGGTCCCTTTCAGCTTTTGTTTTTCTTTTCTTGCCCTCATTGTCAGTTTTTTCAGGGCCTGTTGTGCCAGTTTTAATCAAGAAACGATCCTTTTCTCATCAGCGATGCTACTTGCTTCAGTTTCAGCAACACGCATATAGCGAGAAAAACGTGCTTACCGCAGTGCATTATGGGTTACGCACGGTAATTCATAATGACGTATTCGAAATTCCGCAAGATGCTACATTTCCAAAGTAAATATTACCGATGTTGTCGGGAAAAAATTATCGCGTCTAAGTGAATATTTTTATAGATATTTCATAACATTTGGAAACCGTTAGAATGTTTTCTTTATTTTTAATAAAGTGACAGTGCGAAACCAACTTGCTTTATATGAAAAAAATTCTAATCAAAAACGTAAAATGGCCTCATTTTGATGTAGGAACAATGAATTTTATCAATAATATATAAAAGTTATCTATTATAATGAAAAATCATCAGATTACATCGTAATGTCGGCATGAAAAAAAATGACCGCATCTCCAAGTGTGTAAATAGTAGGGTAAAATACTTATGTAAGACCGTAAGAGTGCTTCCCCTTTGAAAAATCAGCCGTCATTTTGTAAACAATATTGAAGACATGAAGAACATGCCTAAGTAGACTGTTTCCGCATGAAGTACGTACCCAAATGTTTAAAATTTGAAAGTAGTGGTAAAAATGTGCCCTGCACAGCACATATAAATCTTTTTTCTCCAGAAAATTGCACTTGTCCGCGCACAACTGAAACCAGAAAAACAGGCTTGTCTGACGGTCAGTTTACCCGTGTCGGACGAGTCGGCGTTGGATTTCCGCACCCCTGCTACGATATTTAAGATTACTGATGTCTACCCATTTTACTGTAAGAGATCAAAGGTAATCGGTAATGGCTGGATTTGGGCTCTCTGGGACACTTATTGGGCTGTTTTAATGATTATTCACTTTTATACCTGGTCTTCCCCACCACTCACCACAAAGCAACATGCTACACCGGAGCTGTCTACAGGAAATTCTGTGGAAGCCCTACAGTCATCTAAAACATAATAATAGGGTTTTAACAGTTTTCCAAAAAGAAGTCACTTGAGGCAACAAGTTAGACAACTCGACATGAGGCTGCTAAGGTCTGAGCACGGACTGCTCTTCAATAAGTAAATCAAGTAATGCCTGAATTTCACATTCCTGTGAAACATTTTCCCTACTCAGAATCTTTCTGGTGCTACAATCTCCGAATTTTGCAGTCTCATATTTCTTACTAGGGGATGTTTGATTTTATCATCAGAATTTTTTAGAATTAATTTTTATGGATTACATACAGTACAGTGCAAAAGTCTTAGGCAGTCAAAGGAAATTTATCTGTGTAGTAAATATATATTTTTGCTTAGAACACAATTTAGCATTAGAACATCTGCAAATTATCAGTAACACAATAAAAACTAACAGGAATTTATGTTCTCCAAAACATCACTGATGGCTGGATGAACTCCACTTCGGTTCCCAAATCTCTCCTCGGGGGCAGCTCAGCCATTCCGTGTATTTGTTACATTTCCCCATCAGCTCACTTAATTGAATTAGTTTGAAAAAGTGACATTTTGATTGGCCGTATGTGGTATGCTAGGTGTCGAGTCAAAAAATGCATGGGTGGTTGCTGCTAATACTGGGGTGACTTTAGGAGAGGTTTTGAAATGGTAAAGCTGACACACTTTGACAGACAATATATTTTTACACCAACATGAAAATCATTTTAATATCATTTTCTTTCACTGCCTAAGACATTTGCACAGTACTGTATGTTAGTGGTAGTGGTCAGTAGCTGGTAGATAATAGAGAGCCTGGCAAACGAGATTAATGATCTTCATGTTCCAAATGATGAAGTAGAAGCTGCCTTGTTTATATGCTGCGGGCTTTATCTCCTGTGTCCTGTTAGCAAACCTGGCCGTTATTTTAAGATGGAGGCTGACTCTCAGGCTGCATAAGTTTCACGCGTTATAGCCATGTTGGTTTCTATGTGCACCACAGGACAAGCCGCCGCCCTATTCGCCGCCTGAAGACAAGAAGACTCAGTAGGGGTCAGGGTAACGAGTCCCACCTGCTGCAGCTTGGATCCTCCCGCTGTCGCCTTCTCTTCTTACCTGGGTGTGAGGTGCTCTGTGCAGCCTGTACTCCACACTGTTCCAGTGCCCTCCTTGGAACATCTACAGCTGTATCAAATCTTTAACTTCTCTTTCCCTGTCTCCAAGAGTACATCACACAAGGATCAGTATGAGCATATTGTTATTTGCTAAAAAAAAAAAAAAAGTATGTCACCTCAAGTAGTAGTATTACATTTCAGGAAGTGGATTTTGGCATTTTGTTACCTAGAAGAAAAATAAAACATTCTGGATATCAGTTATTTCCAGTATGTCTTGGAAAGTGGAATTAAATGCAGGGCAGTGTCTTCTGGTTTTCAAGCCAGTACTGATTGATGCAGCTGAAATGTACAAGGCTTGAAGATATAACCAAAAACTGACTGACCATCTTTATGTGTATTAGCTCTGTTAGTGAGTGGGGATACAGTAGATGAAGCAAGAGCTACAGTACCCCGTAGTAAAAGGGACCAGGGAATGACAGGATCCTTGGGTGAACTCGCATAATGTGGCATCAGCTCCTGACTAATTTCAGCTATGTTGGAAGCATAGGAAGTGTCTGAATGTGCATTTTAGAATGTGTGTATATAGAAGGTATTGTTCTCCTAAGACCATGAGCTTCCCCCTTCATGGCTGTGTAAAGCTCCATAAATTGTCACATTTCAACTGAATCTGTCAGATTGCTCACATCTGCCTAGTCAGTATTCTGTCATTAATTTTTTGTTGTAAATTAAGTTGTTTGAAGGCACTTTGTAACTCTTCTTAGTTGAACACTTTGTTTGCAAGTCTTGTAGAGGCTCTCTCTTGCTGGCACTAAGCAGATGGCTGTTCCGCGCAGATACCAAGTCTTGCACTTTTGAAATGGCTATGCATTACTATCTCTTCTCTTTCATAACTGTATGGGGCAAAACACTATAAAAACGCTGTCTCACTAATTTATGCATTAAGTGGAACTCGGAAAAAGACGCATGATTTTGTGTGTGACTTAAATACTGTGAACTGAATTTTATTAAACCAAATTTGTGTGAAGTCTTTAGTGTCTTACTGAGCAGCAGTAATGTGCTTTACCAACCTACCCATATTACGCTAACAATCATGAACTACCCGCATCTTGTGCTGAAGAATGGACTTGTGCAAATTAAAGTTTCCCACAGTGTCATGTACAACATCAAATATTCAAACTGTGCTTCACATTTCCTCCTGGCTCAGAAGAAATGTCATGCAAGATGGCCATGCTGAAACTTCAACGTATGACACGACTTCAGCAGTACGAGGTTCTAAGCCAGCAAGGGGACTTACAACAGGGGAAAAAGCATCATCATCACTAAGAAGCAGGTTGGGTGGGACAGATACAGGGAACGTCCTTGTTGTAAATGGAGAACAATGCCACTGCATTGGTTGCTGTCTTCATGTCAGGGTGTGCAGAGGGTGATGCTCACTCCCTCACCAATCCAGCAGGCTGGGAACAACTCCTGGGAAAAGGCGCAGTGAAAGGCATGCAGGCGGGCTTGGCCATCCCCATAGTAGGTCAGAGTCCCCGCCTCATAGTCCAACAGCATCCCGATCCTGTGGTGCTGAGGGTGCCCCGCCACGGCCTCTCTCCTGCCATTGTGCCAGGCGCTCAGCTGCCTCTCGTCCAGCTGTAGGCTCCACGACAGCTCGTTCATGCCCACCATGCAGCGCTTGCCCTTTTCTTTGCGTGGGATCCCCTGGTACGTCACCCCTAAGTAGGCCCACGGCTTGGACACCTCTACCTCCCAGTAGTGCTGCCCATGGGTGAAACTTTGGAAGCACAGCACCTGCCAGGTGGTGTCAAAGCGTGCCTCGTGTGGGGGGACCTGGCGGGGGCCCGAGACGAGATGCTCTGCTCGTCGGTTCCCCTGGGACAGCTGCAGATTAGCATTGGCAGTGCGTGGGTCAAAAGTGAGGGTGCAGTGGACTGTGAGAGAGAAGGGGATATGCTCCATAAATACCAACTCGAGTATCCCAACCTGTCAGGCAAGGAGGTTGTTCAGGAGGTTGTTCAGTGGACTTTCAAATGAAAGTCCACTGAAATACTACAATACAATAGTTGATAGTCAAAATTTTGAAGCCAGCTGCAGACGACAAAGTTTATGTTCCAGAATAACAAGGATAACGTCTTAAAATGATACCTACATGCACTGAGTCCCTCTTTGACTGCTGGAGAACAAGGTGTAGCAGGACTTGGGACTACAGCTAGCACAGGACGCTTATCCTGAGGTGAGCCTAAACGGAGGTAACATACATATGTGGATAAGGGATCAAAGGTGACGCGTTAACAGTTTCGTTTGGACCTAAGAATCAACCAACATACCTTGTTTGTCTTGCCCGATAGCTGCATTTACTGCTTTCTCCAGGTCTTCCGAGACCAACTTGGAAATTTGAGACAAGACATCGGTGATCAAGGACAGTCTGCCTTGTAGGTTTGTGGGGACGTCCAAAGCAATGNAAGCGGTGCAAAGATGAGACGAGCTCCTGCAGCACACACACCCAGCCCCAGAGAATAGGCCTGTAGGTTCTTCTTTGATCGTGAATGCATATCCACCAGAGTAAGGAAATTAAGACTTCAAACACAAAATAAAATTAATACAAATAATTCAGGCAATTTTATTCACTGTTTGTTTCTAGCAAAGATATAATAACTATTGCATTAAAACGATTAAGATGTTTACCTCAAGCACTCAAGTGTATAATGCCTCTGTACATAGCATTTGTGACTTTAAGAATGCATACAGCACGTCTGCATACGATTTGAGCTGTGAAAGTTGTGGTATAGTTCTTCCAAGAGATCAAAACGGATGTTTATTGGCAAACTTCAAACGGGCCAGTACACGTGCTTTCTTTAGCAGGGGGACCTTGTGGTCACTGCAGGATCTCAGTCCTTCACGGCGTAGTGTGTTACCAACTGTTTTCTTGGTGACTATGGTCCCAGCTGCCTTGAGATCATTGACAAGTTCCTCCTGAGTAGTTCTGGGCTGGTTCTGCACCGTTCTCATTATCATTGAAACTCCACGAGGTGAGATCTTGCGTGGAGCTCCAGACCGAGGGAGATTGGCAGTTATTTTATGGTTCTTCCATTTGCGTATAATCGCACCAACTGTTGTCACCTTCTCACCCAGCTGCTTGGTGATGGTCTTGTAGCCCAATCCAGCCTTGTGTAGGTCCACAATCTTGTCCCTGACATCCTTGGAAAGCTCTTTGGTCTTGGCTATGGTGCAGAGTTTGGAATCTGGATAGATTGATTGCTTCTATGGACAGGTGCCTTATGTACAGGTAACGAGTTGAGAAGGCTCCCAATGTTAGCTCGTTACCTGTATAAAATACACCTGGGAGCCAGAAATCATGCTGATTGATAGTAGATCAAATACTTATTTCATTCATGAAAATGCAAATTAATTTATAATTTTTTTTTTAAATGCATTTTTCTGGATTTTTTTTGTTATTGTTCCGTCTCACTGTTCAAATAAACTTACCATTGAAATTATAGACTGATCATTTCTTTGTTAGTGTGCAAACTTACAAAATCAGCAGGGGTTCAAATAATTTTTTCCCTGACTGTGGATAAGGGATCAAAGGTGACGCGTTAACAGTTTCGTTTGGACCTAAGAATCAACCAACATACCTTGTTTGTCGTGCCCGATAGCTGCATTTACTGCTTTCGCCAGGTCTTCCGAGACCAACTTGGAAATTTGAGACAAGACATCGGTGATCAAGGACAGTCTGCCTTGTAGGTTTGTGGGGACGTCCAAAGCAATGTCTTTCATCTGAGGGACCTCGACCAATCTTGATTCCTGGAAAGATTATTGGTCATTGACGTACTTAAAATTGCGTTTTGTCTCTTGAAGTCAGCAGGGATGTTACACACATGAACATGCATACATTGTGATTGACTGCGAGTCCATTTTGACTCCCACGTTTCTCCATTTCTCAGTGACACACTATGCGCAGAATTCCACCGAGAGTGGTTGCGATGTGGTTTTGCTCTATCCGCTGCACGTCCCTGACCCCCACCAGAAGCATTTCAGAAGCACAGCATTGTTGACTTGCTAATTTTTCAGTTGTTTTTTCCTTTAATTTTTGTTGTTCTACTGAGGGCAAGTCACCTACGTAGATAAATTGTTACTTTTTTGGTCGTTTTAAATGTTTTATGTTGTTATTTTCTACTTTTTTGTGCTGTACTCTACAGATTGTATTAATACAGTTAATTCCAGTTATGAGTAACATGGGTCAAACATTGTGGCTGTAGCTGTTAAAAGTACATTCAACCAAACAAAAATACATTCATCATATTTATTTCATATCTACATTTGCATTTATTCTCCAACTTCATGTTACCCTGCTTTGCAGGGTGGCTGGGAAACCTCATGAATATTAATAAGGAAAGTGTTACCTGATTGGCAGGTTGAACTACTGTCAGAAGTGTCCCAGAAGCTGCTTCTGAACCTCTCCACGGCGCTTCTGGTGGAACCACGAGCACTGACTAGAGTGAATGTGATCAGCCGCAGCGACCGGGTCGCAGCCGGAACATGGTACAGCCGCTCTCGGTGGAATTCTTTGGTTGGCACTCAAACATAAATTTACCTGAATGAGCTGGATATCAGTCATGGCCTGCAGAGTAGCTATCTGCCCCTGGATCTCTCCCAGCTGCTGGACTCTGTCCTCCAGTGTGCTGAGATTAGTCTCCGCCTCACTGAGGGCTAACTGCTGCTCCTGCTCTATGAAGCTTAGTATTGACTCCTGTTTCTCTGCCAGCACTTTCACCAGGCTAGCAAACTTCGCATTTACCCAAAGGGAGGTCTGCTTCAGGGACACCTGAGGAAAGAGATGAAGAGGCTGCATCAATGGGAAACAGAAAGGCTACAAAAATACATTGTAATACATTTGTGTCACAAATACACAAATTGATGCAAATCATACAGTACATAGAACAGTAAATGTTTTTTTTTATTATTATTGATATTAGTCTAGTAAAAATCATGATTTTTGTATATCTGCAGAAACTCCCTTTCAGAGAAATATTCACAGGTATCAGACCACATTTCTTATTTGCCTTCCTCCCATTCTCTACGTGAGAATGAGCTCCAACCTTCTCTCTATCTGACAGATTTTCCTTGCACTGGGTTTTTCATCCAAGCAGATAAGCTTGCACTGTGCAGGATGGATAAGCATGGACTGCAGGATTGACACAACAACCCAGGAAGACCTAGGCACCTGACAGTTAAGTTGCTTTGAAACATCCAGCATATAAAATTAAAAACGTCTGCCTGGTCACGCGTCACTTTGTTCCGATGCCAGGGAATGTTGCGCCACGAACAGCAGAACTCAAACTCACAATAAGATTTGAATGTTAAGATATAGCCTGCAACTCCTCTCTAACCTTGGTTTTGTTAATATTCTCAGAGAGCTCTTGGACCTTCTTCTCTGTGTCCTCCTTGATTTTATCCACCTCTCTGCTCTTCTTCTTCAGCCCTTCCTGTAAAACGCATAGACACATGCTCTGAACTACAGCACACTTTCCGCCTTGACATTTTAAAATGAGATCATGGTGTCAGGTGACAACAATTAGACAAATCAAAGGCAAAGCAAATGTCACTTGCCTCCCGCCGCTGCTTTTCTTCCTCCATCAGGACTTGCTCATGGTTTCTGCACTCTCTGATTGCACATTCACAGCACACACACATGCTGTCCGTTTTGCAGTAGTAGACCAGGGCCTTCTTGTGTCGGTCACAGAGTACCTGGGCTTGCGCTGTCATGGCGCTCTGCCTGTGTACTGTGGTGGCACCCTGGCTCTCTGTACCTAACTGTATCGTCTCTGTCACATCAGACAGGGTCACATTTCGCTTCAGCGTGGGTCTGGGGTCAAACTTTTCATTGCATATTGGACACTTTATATCCATATTGGTTTCAGTCATCTTGTCCCAATGAACTGTGATGCATTTCTGACAGAAGGTGTGACCACATGGAATAGTCACTGGAACCTTGAACTGATCCAAGCAGATGCTGCAGCACAAATTTTTGGACATAGCCGCAGACCTAATATCCCCTGATAGAAAGAAAGAAAAAAAACTGGGTTTACCCTTTTGCATGGTTACACTCGCATAGATAGTTTTAAAACCAAAAGCCCACATTCAATAACAAACTTGAAATCTCTATCTAACTCTGACTCTTCCTCTAAACAAAAGACCATCCACCAATCAGCTACACACCACGTGATGTATAATTGTAATAATATATATTTGTCATTACGCAGAAAATGTTAAATTGATGTACGCATACACTGTATTTTAAAAATGTATGAAACTAAAATGACTATTTCTAAAACAAGCTTCAGCCTTAGTAACTGAACGACTGGATAGACTATATACGCACCAAACTGTATAGGCACCATCTTTCGTTAATAATAGATCTGACAAGTCACTAAATAGACCGATAATAACGATGAAAATATTTAGTTGCATATTTATTCACATAAGCGTACGAATGACATCTATCTATATGAATGAAATTTGCACTGACCTCCATATACAGTGCATTACAGTCATCATACATGCATCTATTCTTCAATAAAAAATATCTGTGAAATCAAGTACCGATCTTTCTCGAAAAAGAATACCTACCTTGTTAATCAGAAATGGCTTCTTATCCCGAACTTTACTTGAGGTGTAAAAACTGTATTTATCGGGCTTCTTCCTTCTCGGAATTGTGTATTGCCAGAATGGGTGGCAGTCTGATGCCTGTGCGGATGACGTACGGCACCCGGAAACGTCACTGCGCACGTAGTCATGTGACCGCAGGTTATATCACTCTTTCGTCACGACGGCTGGGAAAATGGCGTGGCGCACGTTGTGTAGGGCTGCGCTGCGGTCACCGACCGACCTGGGGGTCAGTAACGTGAAGGGCTTTGGGACCGCCGGTATGTGTCAATTTAACTTTTTAAACGAAATTCTACGTTACGTGCAGGCTATCCTGTAATAGGCTGTATTGACAGCTATGCGTCTCTGCGGTGATGTACGTAACGCTTCTCCAGTACTTAAAATCTCGGTTGGTCTAATTCACCTTACATATTTAATTTGGTCTTGCATTGTTGTAATGTAGTCTTGTATCTTCCTTGTCAAATATACTCGTTTTTTGCGTAGATGTATGCAAGTGAGCAGAGTTTTGCATTTGTGATGCCCCAAAACGGGTCAGGGTAAAATGCGGAATCCGCCGGATTCCGCCGAACGTAAACAAAAACAGGAGCTCAGCATTGCGGTGCAACTGCGCAGTCAGTACAATACGGATGTCCGAAATCGTATTGTTCTTAATGTTAACATTAATTTCATTGTTAATTTGTTAAACATGTGAAAATGTTCTATATATTATCTGTTGAGCNCCACATTCAATAACAAACTTGAAATCTCTATCTAACTCTGACTCTTCCTCTAAACAAAAGACCATCCACCAATCAGCTACAGACCACGTGATATATAATTGTAATAATATATATTTGTCATTACGCAGATAATGTTAAATAGATGTACGCATACACTGTATTTTAAAAATGTATGAAACTAAAATGACTATTTCTAAAACAAGCTTCAGCCTTAGTAACTGAACGACTGGATAGACTATATACGCACCAAACTGTATAGGCACCATCTTTCGTTAATAATAGATCTGACAAGTCACTAAATAGACCGATAATAATGATGAAAATATTTAGTTGCATATTTATTCACATAAGCGTACGAATGACATCTATCTATATGAATGAAATTTGCACTGACCTCCATATACAGTGCACTACAGTCATCATACATGCATCTATTCTTCAATAAAAATATCCGTCTAATCAAGTACCGATCTTTCTCGAAAAAGAATACCTACCTTGTTAATCAGAAATGGCTTCTTATCCCGAACTTTACTTGAGGTGTAAAAACTGTATTTATCGGGCTTCTTCCTTTTCGGAATTGTATATTGCCAGAATGGGTGGCAGTCTGATGCCTGTGCGGATGACGTTCGGCACCCGGAAACGTCACTGCGCACGTAGTCATGTGACCGCAGTCACGCCGGCTGGGAAAATGGCATGGCGCACGTTGTGTAGGGCTGCGCTGCGGTCACCGACCGACCTGGGGGTCAGTAACGTGAAGGGCTTTGGGACCGCCGGTATGTCTCAATTTAACTTTTTTAAACGAACTTCTTCGTTACGTGCCGTCTGTCCTGTAAAAGGCTGTATTTACAGCTATGCGTCTGTGCGGTGATGTACGTAACGCTTCTCCAGTACTTAAAATCTCGGTTGGTCTAATTCACCTTACATATTTAATTTGGTCTTGCATTATTGTAATGTAGTCTTGTATCTTCTTTGTCAGATATACTCGTTTTACGCGGATGTATGTAAGTGAGCAAAGTTTTGCATTTGTGATGCCCCAAAACAGTGTAACTCGTCCATTCTGTCCATCCACGGTGACTCGTAGCCACGACCATTAACCATGTACACAAGTTAAGGGCAGCTATATATACCCCAAGTTTAAATGTAGTGCTTAATCTGTTATTGTAACGGAAAGTCCATCCATTCCTTTAAAACTTTTATCAGAAATATTTGCTGAGGTCAAGAGATATGGAATATTATATAATGAGGCTGCAAACGCTGTTGTTGACGTGATTCAGTCAATGCAATACTTGTCTTGATGGAGGAATTCTTTAAGAAAAATGCCTTCCATGGATGCATGCAAACCTAGGCTTCAAACTCACAATACAAACCACGACACCTGGGGTTTTTCGGTATGTGTATAACCTGAAACTGCGAATGAACCAGTACCGCGTCTCTATGGAGAGTCAAGCCTCATTTTGTTGCTGATCACGTTTCTCTGAGAATGATACAAGCCAAATGAGGCTTCATCTGAAATTGAAGCCTTGTCTTCAAGTGTCCCATCATTAATTAATACAAAGTGGATTACACTCCCAGGGAAGCATGGTACTTCACAGGGTAACACTGTTGCATAACATCTCTGCCCAGTGCCGAAGACCCTATCCAGGATAAAAGTTTGTGTTTTCTGATACCTGCGTGTGGGGTTTCCTGTGAAATTACAGGCACATTATGGCGCCGAGCTGCCCCTCTGGGTCCCATGCCCAATGACGACGTCGACCTGAATGACCCCGAAGCTCAAAAAAGATACGACAGCTTCACGCGCTACCTGAAGGTCGCCGAAGAGGCAAAGAACAAGAAAGCCTGGTGGAGAACTTACAGACAACATCTGAAAGAGGAAAACCGTGACGAAGGTAATAAAATTAACCCGCAGTGTTGTTGGGGAAAGTAAGCGATATACCTGCATGCTGCCCTTAAAGTACCCAGTAATGTAAGCGTGTTTCTCCCAAACGCGAAGATGCCCCACTGGTGAACATCGGACTGGCCTCCCGTCGTCAGTCCCGTAAAGAACAGGTGAAGGAGAGAAATCGGGTGATGAGAGAGAATCGACGTAACCCAGAGCTGGAGAAGGCCACACGCCTGCTCACGTGTATGTGCCACACGTCCCCTAGAGGCATCCTGAGGACATCGTGCCCCTGTGTCATCTGTTCTGCGTTAACGTATCGCGCCGCTCTTTTTCACAGTCTCCATCCCACTCGACCGCGTGAAAGCGGAATGGGAGCGCACCGCTGGTCCCTATCATCTGCATAATGTCGCAAGGCACTACGCCGTCTACCGCGACCTGTTCCCTGGGGCCTACTTTCTGCCGAGAGTCATGCTGCGCATCGCTTATGGCAATAGCCCCGGCACACACGTGCATTATGGGAATCATGTGACGCCCACAGAGGTACGGCCGCTGGATTAAAAGGAAAAAGGTTTAGCTATTGTAACTTAAAAAGTAGATCATTGCAGCAGCAACGCCAAGGTTGTGGGTTCAAGTGAATGGCACTAGCCTGTCAGTAACGCAACAGTATGATAGCAAAAGAAAATTCAGTGCAGACAGTGCAGAAGCAGAAGTTATTGCTAGAATACTACAGAGTTTATCACAGTTATGAAATATAGTGCAACTTTTTATATTTTTGGAATGTAAATAATTTATTAGTTTTTTCAATTAATTTGGGTGCAGTGACCTTTAAACTTTTTAAAGTAGAACTACCCAAACAATTCGTATTTGTGTCAGTTTTTGAAATAATCGGCAATTGGTATTGGCCAGAAATTTCCTTATCACTAGATAAAAGTATTAGATGAGTGTAATGTAAAAGGGAACTTATGTGATTTTGTACAGTTGGGATTTGACATGGACACATGGTGACATGTTTCTCCTCAGGCACTGGCTGCTCCTCATGTGAACTATGAGTCAGATCCAGACGCACTGTGGACTCTGCTCCTCACCAGCCCAGGTATGGAACCCACCATTACTGTGGGGGGGGGGGGGGGGTGTCATAAAAACGTTTTGTGGTGATTGACAAGTTTGTTTTCTGATTGAAATTATTTATGAAATGCATTTTTGATAATTAGACATGGGAAATGTTTTGTTATATACGTGTTGAAATGGGGGGAGGGGGCTTGGGGGGGTTGCACTGTTGCCACACATGTCAATGGTTTAGGGTTTGAATTCTACCCCCACTCTGCGTGTGGAGTTTGCATTTCTCCCCGAGATGCAAAGGTTTCCTCCTGCAGTCCAAAGACAAACAGTTTGGCCAATTTTATAAAAGCGTTCATTTGTCCTTACGCACGAAAACTCAGTAAAAGTCAGATTTATAAGACCTTGCATAAACTGAGGTTTACATGATAAAGTTTTATAAAAACCACTTATCGTTGAAACATTAGTAGGTGTGTGTGCTTTAAAAACCACCTCATTCCCATCCAGAAATTATCCTAGATTGGCAAAGCGAATTAGCCGTGTGTAGGGCTGTCCCGATCCTGAAATTTTAATCAAGGATTAATTGTCATACAAATCGTTATGATGTACATTGCTGTTTCTTTAAAAAACAAAAAAAAAAGCATCTTTTGTGGATTGTTTGCAATAAATATATTTGTATATGTAAATTCATTTATTTAAAACAATAAAACAAATGCTGAATGTTAGTCGTATATTGCATATAAGAAAATGATTATTCACAAGCATTTCATCATACGCTAAAACTGATGCACATTAGATGCACATTTTAATCTGAACGCTAGATGTCGCTCTTTTTCTATTTTCTCCAAAACGTCGGTGGGACAGCTCGGGACCATTCCTAAATATGCAAACCTTCAGGATAAGTTTTTCTTTTTAAAATTCCTTTTTCATTTAAATGTGGATACAAATGTTTCTTAATTTTGTTCGCTCAAAGCCTTTATAAATGAGTTTCCAGGCCCCGTATAACCTGGATAAATGGCTAGAAAATCTGATATCCGCCATATGAGGGCGCCAGTTACCAGCTACAAGAAAATACTTGAGAGGCTGTAGAAACTAAACAACACAGAGGTGACCTTTGGCATTTTAATCACTTCTGCTTGAAGCATTTCTGTTTATGCAGCTCAAGGTTAAGTACGGTTTGATTTAATGTTTAACCCATCAGCATATAGGGTAGACTATCAAAATACCAACTGCTGTAGACAAATGAAATGTAACCAAACTTTTGAGATGCCAGTTAACAAAGAAGTGTGATGTGGTTAATGTGGAAGGGTGCAGCTGTTGTTAGCTGTTATTGCATGATTATAGCAGTTTGAATATGGGATGTTTCTAGGCTACAGCTATTCTGCCATATAGGCAAAACGTATCTGCATATTTTGTTCAAAATCTGGTCTTTCAGGCTCCGTTTTCTTGTGACTTTTTCCCCCCCAGAGTTTCAGTGCTAATGTAGTTACTGTGTTTTGCCCTGGCAAGGCAGCAATACTGATACAGTCTTCAGAATACTAATGTTGTTTGGAGTGATTGCAGAGCCCTCATTGCTGCCCCCTACATTTGCTACAATTCACTTGTAAAATGCTCTGTTTGACAGATGAGCATCTGCATGATAATGAAGGGGAGTACGTGCATTGGCTTGTGTGAGTATCTCTATGGTTGCAGTTGGCCTGTCTTTCTGAGTAGAGACCCTGTGGGTTGTTTTCTTCTGTGGAATTAAATTACTGGTTTTACTAGATGTCCTCTTCCTTCCTTGATGCTTTGAAAACTGCACAGGAGCATACCGTATTTCGGGAGGGTATTACATTATGATGCAACTGTAGAAAAAATGTAGTTCAAACGGGATCTTACATGTATTTAAAACAGTTCACTCTGGAAATGGATTTGGTAGCTTTATAATCCTTGTTTAGGGGGAACATTCCAGGAGATGCAGTTCATTTGGGAGAGGAGCTGTGCCAGTACCTGCCCCCACTCCCTGTTAAGGGCACTGGCTTTCATAGATTCATCTTTATCCTGTTCAAGCAGGACGGCCCCATCAAATTCCAAGAGGATCGCAGACCAGCGCCTTTGTAAGTCCCAGGACAAACACAGTGCACTGCAAACTCACAAACATCATAAGTGCTTATTGATTCTAGAAGAGACAGGAGAAAATGAGTGATAATTACAGAAAGATGTCGCAGTGGTTTAGTGGGTGGCTCTGTTACCTCCCACCTTTTGGGGGATGTGGGGGTGTGAATTCACTCTGCTTTGTGTTGAGGCTCCGTGGTCTCCGTGCTGCACGGTTTTCATCCGGATTCTTCCAGTAATCCCTTATTATGTATGTCTGCCTGGAGATGATAATGTATCCCAACCGTGTGCCTTAAACTGCCTGGGAAAGACTCCAGGCCCCCACTGTCTCCCTGAACTAGATTAAGTGGCTGGATGATGGATGGATTCTTATTAAAAAAAAAAAAAACGAGTTGTCGGTTTTAAACATTCTTTAAATGTTGTTTTTTTTTTTTTTTTAGCCATAATTTGAATCAGCGGACCTTCAAGACGCTGGAGTTTTATAGAGCGCATCAGGACAGCATGACTCCTGCTGGTCTGGCCTTTTTCCAGTCCCAGTGGGACGACTCGGTCAGCCAAACCTTCCATGGCCTTCTGAGTGAGTCCTTTACATTTAATTGTGTAATTGTGCTATGGAAAAAAAAATACCACTGAGTTTTTGGATTGAATAAAAACTGCATTAAATCTGTTGCAAGTTGTGGGTATTGCAAACCCTTTATGGCAGTGTTTCCAACCCTGTCCTCGGCGACCCATGGACTATCCACATTTTTGCTCACCCCCAGCTCCAGGTAGCGAAAATATGGCCCTGTCTGCCGGGTCCCTGAGGATCAGATTTGGCAAAAACTGCTTGAGGGTGATAAAGCTGCACCAGCTTCCATGCTCTTTGTTCTTCCGCAGATATGAAAGAGCCCGTGTTCGAATTTGTGTGGCCCCCTGTGTACCATCCGCCTCAGAAGTTGTATCCACATCGTCAGCCCTTGCGATACCTGGACAGATACCGTGAGGGGCACGTTCCCACTTACGGCATTTACTGATCCAATAAGTGACAAGGCTTGTCTTCTGTGCTGCATTTACATATACTGTGTAAATTATTTGCAATAAATACAGTTGATTACTAACCAAATCAGTTTTGTGATACTAAAGCATTTTAAATTATGACTGGGAGAGTTAAGGAACCAAAAAGTCTTATCACCAAACAGGAAAATCGAGTATATTACTTGATGTCTGAGTCTGTTTTTTTTGTTGTTGTTTTTAAAATGATAGCCATCTTTGTTGGCATTCTTTAAACTAGGCACATGTCAGCTACTGTTAACCAAGGCAAAGCCCTTTTTTACATATAGCAATCATACAGTATGTCAGTGACCCAGCTCAAGGGTCACAAAATCATCTTCCCGGTTCAGCCACATTCAGATGAGATAATGGTGAATGACTCCTAGCACTGATACATAGTGCAGGATGATAAATCTCTGTCAAGCTTCTGTTAAATAACAGAAAGTGAAACGTGCATCATTTGCCAGACATCCATTTCATTTCCAAGAAATGCTAGAATAAGTGCTTTCCATATGGGCATTCAACTTTCTCTTCAGCCAAGACCATACAAACAAACAGTTTTCTTTAATCTCTGGGTCTGGCATGGGCTTGCAAATGGAGATTTACATCCTGCAGAAAAAGTCTCAAAGGAAATAGTTTTTTTCCCCACTCCCTTTGGTTAAGGGGTATTGTTTGGAGGTAGGAAGGAAATAGGGGAAATTTCTGTGCTGGGTGTCATCCGTATGTGAAATCAGAACGTAACGTGCAGCTGGTTTAAGAGGTCATCCATGTTTGTATCAAAGCTGATCTGAGATTTTTATAGTGGGAATGATTTGGAAATCCCACACCAGAAGAGCCAAGTAAGTAATGAGATAAATATGTGAAAGGAGAATGTCACAGTCCCTTATGCCTACAGAGATTGACAATTGTCTAGCTGAACAAGTACATAAGGATTTTTCTGTCATCGTTTAACTGCAAAATCATTTAATGTTTACTACATTTTTAGGCAGAAATCACCAATCAGTACAAGGAATTTAAATGACATAATAGAGTTACCTGCTGTAATTGCTCTCTGTAGGATGTTATGTTCTGGCTGATCAGTAACATTATTCAGAATGTAGTGACCGGAAGCACACCTGCAGTGCCTACCAAATATTTGCATTGATGTCTGTCTATATTTATTTATAGTTTATGGTCTGCCTCAAGCTAATATTGGGTAATTTTCCACATTGGATGTGGAGTGAAGTGACGAGCCACTCGAAAGAGACAAGGGCTTCACTTACTGGGCTTGAAACATTAGGTGTTACTGAGACCTCAAGAGGGAGCCTTTACTAATCACCTAATAACTGACACAAAGATGTTGTGCAATGCAATTCACACTGTTTCAGTAAAATATCACTTTACATAACTTGGTAATTGTGTAAAAGGAGAAAATTCATGTCAAACAGTTAATTCTGATAAACTGAATTAACAGCACTTCAAGTGCTTCTTATAAATACAAAAGAATCATACTTTTATTATCTGGTGAATTTCAAGTTAAAAAACAAACAACAATAGTAAAAGAGGCTAAATTGGTAAACTATTAATCAGTTTCTCAACAGTATTGCACATAACACTGGTACTCATAACTGAATATTCTCTAATTACTTCACTTGGAATGATGAACTAGACATGTAGCTATGTGTAAACTGAGTGGAGTCCTCAAGAGTGGGCCACCCTTAGCATCTCTGCTACATCCAAGATCTTCTCCCTGGGCCTTCCTACTCTCTGGCCTCTTCTGACCTCCTCTTTGTCAATCTTCTCCCAGTCTGAGAAAGACACCCACTTCACACCTGTGCAAACAGACGCACAGTGACGACACCCAAATAAATAAGTGTCCTGACAAGCATGGGAGCATCCAAACTACAAAGAGCTACCTTAATGGTATAAGAGAAATTCCATTGGGGGGGGGGGGGCAAACCAAACAGGTATGATTATTTTGCTACTCACATTGTCTTACCTCTGCCAGAAATACAGGTAACACTATTCAGAAGTAGAACAGGTTGCGTGCGTGCCCCCACAGATTCAGAACCTTAGCACTGAATTGCACGCTATGTCAGGCCACGTAACGTGGCTTGTCCCTTTAGCCTGCATTTTGGCCCTCTTGGAGCAGGACACGTTTCTTCGCTTGGCAACTGTCCTATATTTCTATTCCTGTCTCTCTTATTGTGCTTGTCCTGTACAGCTTTAACATAACCACTGCCAACAACTCCAGCATATGGCCCTCGCTGAATCGTGTAGCAACCTGTAGCTAATCGGATTATTAGCACAGGTGTCGTGTTGCCCTGTAGTTCAAACTTACTGAATATTGCCTGGAGACAATGTGAATCACAAGTGATAAATATATCTGCAATAAAAAATTAAAAGAATGCTTGAGAAACGTACCTCGGCTGTCCAGCGAGGAGAGGACAGCCCTTGAACCTGGCTTCACGGAATACACGTCAATTACTCCAGCCTCTATGTCCTGTAGTAGTGACCGGGCGGTGTCGAAGCTGTCATTCATCGTCGTGGCGATCACGCCGGTAGGTCCACGCTTCACCCACCCACTGCAGTACAAACCTGTGAGGGGCAATGGGTTAAGATACTGTGATACTTTCTCCTGGAAGACTTCTCACTCACTCAAAAGTAATTATTTATTTATAAACAACCCAACTGCACAACTCATGACCATTTATACAACTGTGTGTGTATACAGTGGTACCTCAGTACTCAAACTCATTAGAACTCGAATTTCTTAAAAGTCGAACCAACCAGTTTGGAAAAAAATGACCTAGACCTTCGATCTGAATCTCAGAAGTCGAACCGTGAACACCGACCTAAGATAACTTGTAAAATGCTCTGTTTGACAGATGAGCATCTGCTCATAACTTAAAACTTGTACGAAATGAGTCACGTGGCACGTCTCTCAGCGGAAACAAAGGGTAACGCTTCACTCTCAGCCTCGCATTCGCTGTGATAGCATCGTTTGTTGGTGATAGTGATTTTTTAAATTGAAAATATCAGGTAATACACCTGTACCTTGTATCATTTTGGTAGCCATTGCACATTGTTTGGATACATTTATTTTCTTACTTTACACATTTCTGTACATGTGTACATCTTTGCACTGAAGGATCTGCTCTTAATCTCATTATACATGTGTATAGTGACAATAAAAGGCATTCATTCATCATTCATTCATTCATTTTTCACACCTGGCTCGTACGAGACTGCATGCCACTGATCGTCCCCAAGCTCTCCGTCTTCCTGGAAGACAGAGAGCTGCTGGGCCAGATGGCACCCACAAGAGGATCCTCAGTGTGTGAATCAGCCTGCCGAAGTGTTCGCAGACATTTTCAACCACTCCTCCACACTGTCCCTGTCTGCTTCAAGATATCTACTACACCCCATTGCTCTGACCTCAATTGAGACCCACCACTGTCATGTCATCTACGAACTTCATGATGATGCTGGAGCTGTTTGTGGCACGAGGGCAGGGGACACCCTGGACGGGACACCAGTCCGTCACGGGGCACGAGGCAGGGGACATCCTGGACGGGATGCCAGTCCGTCACAGGGCACATGTATACATCTCAGTGCTTTGAAAGTAGTCAAGGACTTCATCTGCTTCCCCTTGCCTGTCACTTTGGACCCGGTACAGGATTTGTACTGAATACTCTCCCTATACTCCCTGTACAACCATGACTGTGTGGCCACAAACAGCTCCAGCATCATCATGAAGTTCGTAGATGACATGACAGTGGTGGGTCTCATCTCCACGCCTCTTCTACCCCAGAAGGCTGAAAAGGTTCGGCCCGAGCCCTTGCATCCTCAGGACATTCTACAGATGCACTATTGAGAGCCTCCAAACTGGATGCATCACCATCTGCTATGGGAGCTGCACTGCCCTCAACCGCAAAGAAATGCAGTGGGTGGTGCCCTCTGCTGCACAGGTCATCAGAGGGGGGCGAAGGCCACATGCACTGGGTGGTGCTAGTGGAAACCCATAAAAATCATCAGGGACCCCCAGTTTCACATAATGGTGCATAATGGCAATGAAAACAGATTCTTCTCTATTCAGCTAACAAGACACAGAACACAAATGCTTGGGGTATGACTAATAGACTTCATTGGCTCATTGTGGGCAGAATAAGCAAGGGAGAATCCTGTGAAAATCAAGCTGACCAGGCCTCTTCCCTCCTATCTGTGGGCAAAGGTCTACAACTGGCAAAAGGGGATTGTTCTCTTCACAAAGTCTCAGTGCTAGCTGTGGAAAACCACAATAGTGTCCATACTACAGGATACAATGCTGCTTATTGTCAGCCATGCTCATTTGCACATTGTTTTCAAGGAGGAACAATACGACTGTGGCCTCTCACCAGCTCCAGTCTGCACTCTGCCCACTGTGTTGGGGATTATGGCTTTATGGTGGTCAAAAGGCACAGCGGGATCGATGCACAGGCTCCGGTAGCCAATGCTGCTGATCACCATCCCGCACTTCAACTCCTCCACCTCACCCGTCGGCACTGCCCGTGCCCCTTCGTGTGAGCCCTTGTCATAGGAGAGTGGCATGTATGCGACTGGTAGAAATCACAGCCAATGAAATGGTGGTAAAGCGGAGGTAGTGAGTCACAGTCTGAGACACACATGCACTATCATCATCTAGTGCCCTAGTCCTAGGACCCCTTAAAAAAATATTTTGATACAAATATTAAATAATATATTCAATATATTAAAACATAAGCAAAACATAATCTAATTCTTGTCCAGATTCTTTTAGACTTTGGTCAAGTGTTTTGCGTAATAATGTTTGATTGTTTTTTTCAAAGGATAGGTGTTTTTAAAGGCCTCCTGCTGTATCCTACACAGCTTTCGCACATCTCTGGGAATCAGGCTGACTTCGCTCACCTCCAGCACGTTCACGGCCAGTCGGATCCCAGCGGTGCTCGTCAAGTCATCAGCGGGCAGGATCTCTAGGGGGCTACGCAGGAAGTGGAAGCCCCACTGACGGGAAGCTCCCGCCTGCCTGGATGCAGCCCCCTGTGCAGCCTTAAGCAGGAGCTCTGTCAGCCGCTTTCTTGGCCTGGACAGGTCTGAATTACCACAGACAGACAGACAATGGTGTTGTATGCAGTTGTTGCAAAAAAAAAAAAATCTCAGTCATATGATGTGAGCCACACCAAAGGTCTCTCCACTTGGCAGCGGATGCTCACTCCCACTGAGGGATGCCCAGAGATCCCTAAACCAGAGACATAATCCTTCCATGGTATCCTGATTTTTGCTTGGGGTCTCCACCCAGTGAGATGTACCACAAACAGCTCCCATTAGGAGCCAATCAGGTGACATCCCTGTGAGATATGAGACCTTCTATGTGCTAATACAACTGCAACCAAGAAACGAATCCACCTGACAATACGTTTCAGGAACAAGATCCTGACTCCTTCATTAAGGAAAGACTCTCCCCGCTTACTTGAAGGAAGTGAATCGGCTCGGTTCCAGAGAACAAAAATATTGGAGGGTCCAGCTGCGGAGGACAAAAATGAACATCTGCAAACAGCGGAAATGTCAAAATTAGGTCACTGGGCCGACGCCTTGGGATCTTAGAACATCTGGAGTTGAACCCAGACACCTGATCTGTCCAAGTATTCTCAAACTGACACCACTGTTAAGACAACAGAGCTAAACAAATCAGGCTTGTGATACCTTTACTTAACTAGGCACTCTTCCAGGCACAACCAACTCAATCTTCTTATCCGGTCTATTAAAATCAGAAAGAGAAATGCTCAAAAGACACAATGTTCTCGTAGCCATTACTCGTGCTAAATAAACTAAAAGAAAGTACTTTTATGGCACTTAGTCAGCTTTACTGGATGATGAAACGTGTTTTTAATACTTGTGAACTAAATATCACAGTTATAAACATTGCAACAGAAGTGAGTCATGTTTGGTTGATTGCCAATAAATAATAAGTAATATATCTCAGCTATAAAAGAAGTCTGCCAACCAGCCCTTTGATATGTGAAGTCCATCTTAGGAGGGGTGCAGAGTAGGGAACACCCTGGATGGGATGCCAGTCCGTCACGTGGCACGAGGCAGGGAACACCCTGGATGGGATGCCAGTCCGTCACGGGGCACGAGGCAGGGAACACCCTGGATGGGATGCCAGTCCGTCACGGGGCACGAGGCAGGGAACACCCTGGATGGGATTCCAGTCCGTCACGGGGCACGAGGCAGGGAACACCCTGGATGGGATTCCAGTCCGTCACGGGGCACGAGGCAGGGGACACCCTGGACGGGATGCCAGTCCGTCACGGGGCACGAGGCAGGGGACACCCTGGATGGGATGCCAGTCCGTCACGGGGCACGAGGCAGGGGACACCCTGGACGGGATGCCAGTCCGTCACGGGGCACGAGGCAGAAATTTTCAGTTTCACTCAATTCTCAATTTATGGGTATGCTTCGGTGTAAAACATACATTTTGTTGCAAATTCCAGCCTGGCTCTTCATCCTTGCTATACCCTTCACCCTGCTTCATCCTTGCTATATGGGTCTTCAGCCCTGCAAGCTTGTTATGAACTGTCCTAGCAATGTAGTTCACACCTGCACTTAATGTTTCCCATTCCTTTTGAAAGTCATCCTCCGATTTATGAGGCACTGTCAGATAAATAGATCTCTGCCATTAAAAACTCACTTCCACCCTCTACCTGGCTGATTTTTGGTCACTGCCAGTGTCTCCTGCTTCACTTTGTTTTTGTGAACTGCTGTCTTAGAAACTTTGAGCCTGGAAGCAGGCTGCCTCACAGTGTAGCCTTCTGCCAACAGAACCAGGATTAAACCAGGATTTAAAAATTCCTATAGTGACACTACTGTTAGTAATATATGGCAGATCAGGTAGACATCCCTGGCTTGCAAATAGATGTTTATGCACCAATGAACAGAATACGGTCCTGTTCTTAGTGCAGTAATACTATGCAATGATAGCTGAAGAAGGACATTTTCAAACCTGTACCAGTTCATTAGGGGTGAATGAAATGCTAGCAAAAGCCATACTGAGACGTGTTGGGTTCTGTGTTTTCCCTCTTATATTTTCCATTGCTTGGTGTTCAGGCTTTGTATTCATAATACTTAGTCTGCAGTTCAATGATCGATTTTGTAATCGTGTAGTCGGATCTGTGTCCGCATGTTCTGGGCACCCGGGTGGTGAGTTGGGTCTAATGGTGGGGGAAGATGCCGGATAGACATGGTAGACCCAAATGCATTGAGAGGGTGTGCTGGGAGCATTCTATCAGAAGTCCCTGTCTGGGAGATCTTCAACTCGCATCTCCAGCAGAACTTCTCCATCCTGAGGGAGTCAGGCGACATGGGGCCTGAATAGGCCATGTTCTGGGACTCCATAGCTGAGGCGGTGGTGCAGAGCTGTGATCGTAAGGTTGTTGGGGCCTGTTGTGATGGTGATTCTGGAACCCGGCGGTGGACACCAGTGGTAAGGGGGACTGTCAGACTAAAGGAGGAGGCCTTTCGAGCTTGATTAGCTTGTGGGACTCCTGAAGCAGCTGACAGGTACCAGCAGGTCAAGCGGAATACGGCTTTGGCACTAACTGAGGTTCAGGTGAAGGAGGAGTTTGGAGAGGTCATGGAGAAGGACTTTGGTTTAAAATATTTTGGCAAACCATCAGGCGACTCAGGAGGGGAAAGCAGGGTGTTACCCATGCTGTTTACAGCAGGGATGGACATTGTTTTAACCTTAACTGCAGATATAGTTAGGCAGTGGAAAGAATGTTTTGAGGATCTCCTGAAGCCCACAGATACGCCTTCCTTGGAGAAGGAGAGCTGGAAGACTCAGGGGGGCACTTGCCCATCTCTAGGGCTGAGGTCACTGAATTAGTCAAAAAAAGTCTTCGGAGGTAAGGCTGAAAAACAGCCCCATACCATTATCCCCCCCCTACACCAAACTTTACAGCTGGCACAATGCAGTCAGGCAGGTAATGTTCTCCCGGCATCCGCCAAACCCAGACTCATCCATTAAACTGCCAGACAGAGAACCATGATTCTTCACTCAACAGAACATGTTTCTGCTGTTCCTGTAGGTGAACGCGCGCAAAGCTGCTGGTCCTGACGGAATCCCCGGCCGTGTCCTCAAATCATGCGCGGCTCAGCTGGCTGGAGTGTTCACGAGCATCTACAAACTCTCCCTCTCCATTTCTGGAGTCCCGGCCTGCTTCAAAACGGCCACCATCGTCCCTGTACCAAAATCCTCCACCATCACATCCCTGAATGACTGGCGACTAGTTGCCCTGACCCCCATCGTGAGCAAATGCTTTGAGAGGCTGGTCAGGAATTTCATCTGCTCTGCGCTACCGGACTCACTGGACCCTCTACAATTCGCATACCGTCACAACAGGTCCACTGATGACGCCATTGCCCTGACACTACATACCGCCCTCTCCCACCTGGAGAAGAGAGATACGTATGTGAGAATGCTGTTCGTTGATTACAGCTCAGCATTCAATACCATCGTTCCCTCAAGGCTGGACAGGAAACTGCTAGATCTAGGATTGAGCAGCTCTCTTTGCAGCTGGATCCTCGATTTTCTGTCCAGATGGTTAGATTGGGAAACATCACGTCATCCACCGTCACAATGAACATTGGTGCTCCACAGGGGTGTGTACTGAGCCCTCTCCTGTACTCACTCTACACCTACGACTGCACGGCCACTAACAGCTCCAACATCATCGTGAAATATGCAGACGACACAACAGTGGTGGGTCTCATCACCAATGGGGATGAGACGGCATACAGGGAGGAGGTCAGCGCCCTGACACATTGGTGCCAGGAGAACCATCTCACCCTAAATGTGGCTAAGACCAAAGAGATGATAGTGGACTTCCGGAGATGTGGAGGAGCACATTCCCCCATCACCATTAACGGCGCTGCTGTGGAGAGAGTGAGTAGTTTCCGTTTCCTGGGTGTACATTTAGCGGAGGATCTCACATGGTCAGTTCACATTGACAAAGCAGTGAAGGCGGAGCAGCAGCGCCTCTACTTTCTCAGGAGACTGAAGAGATTCAGCATGAGCCCCTGCATCCTCAGGACCTTCTACCACTGCGCCACTGAGAGCATCCTCACAGGATGCATCACCACCTGGTACGGCAACAGCCCCACCTACAACCGCCTAGCTCTGCAGAGAGTAGTGCGGTGTTCGGAAAAGATAACTGGAGGTGTGCTCCCCTCCCTCCAGGACATCTACAAGAAGCGGTGTCTGAGGAAAGCGAGGAGGATCATCAGAGACTCCAGTCACCCTGGTCATTATCTGTTTACCCTGCGTCCGTCAGGCAGGAGGTATCGCAGTATTCGGTCCCGTACCAGCAGGCTAAGGGACAGCTTTTTTCATCAGGCAATCAGAATAATGAACACTAACCACTGACACTTCGCAGAAGGAAATGGAAGAGAAAAAGGGAGGAGAAAGGAAAAAGAGAGGAAAGGAAAGGAAAAGGGAAGGAAAGGAAGGGAAGAAAGAAGGAAAGGAAAAAACAAAACCCCAATGTCACTTTATCGACTCCATGTCAATTATGCACTTCATGTTGCACATAACTGCTCTTTGCACAACGTTCATGCGTTTAATATTATATATGTATATCTTGTACTTATCTTTTATATATATATATATATATATAGATTTTGCACACCACTATTGCTTGTGAAGCTAGCACACAAGAATTTCACTCATATGTACTGTACCAGTAACATGATGTGACAATAAAGATTTGAACTTTGAACTTTGAACTTGAACTTGAACTGTAGTGGCGTGCTTTACACCACTCCATCTGACGCTTGGCACTGTGCTTGGTGATGTCAGGCTTGTATGCATTTGCTCAGCCATGGGAGCCCATTCCACGAAACTCCCAGGACACAGTTTTTGTGCTGGAGTTAATGCCAGAGAAAGTTTGGAACTCTGTAGTTCTTGGGTCAACAGAGCGTCAGTGTCTTTTACACACTATGCGCCTCAGCACTTGAAGACTCTGCTGTCACGCTGTCAGCCACTTTGTGGCTGAGTTCCTGTTGTTCCTAAATGCTTTCACTTTGCAAAAATACCACTTACATTTGACCATGGAATATCTAGCACAGAAGAATGAAACACCACAATTCAATGAATAAGAAGCGTGTCCCAGTTCTTTTGTCCATATAGTGCACCACGGATCGCTAGCGACTTGACCATCAAGTTTACAGCTTTTCTGGTGTTACAAGATTCTCCATGGAGGCTGTGCTCAGGGTATGGGAGGAATTTTTCACGCCTAAAAATTTACTACTAAATATATGGCAAAAATGAATCAGCCAGAAAAAAAAAAAGTTACATTGTATTGGTCGATTCTATGCCTCCACAGCTCTGCCTATAAAAACTATGACAATAAAGAGAAAATGTACGTATGGAAGATATGTGCAGATATGTTAAATGCTGCTTGTCATTGTTATGGAACCAATAAAGTTGCAACATTTTTCCAAAATAAAGCAAAAGCATCCCAAGACTTTTTTAATGGCAGCAACCTTTGTGCTTTTTCCTTACTTAGAAGTTACTGGTTCAGGCAACATTTTGTTTTAAAAGTATCGTTTAGCATTAGTATCAGAAAAAATCCAAACAATACTCAACCCTACACTGTCTGAAAAAAAGTAACAATTTGTATCTTTGAGGGTACAATTAATTGTCACTGGGGCTGTACCCTCAAGGTTCTGCCAAATGCACCCTAGCTGTAGGCAAATGTACCTTTTAAGGTACAGAAATGGACTCTGGAGAACATTGGGATACTTAATTGTTGTTTGTACCTCGGGGTACAAAACTGTACCAGGCCTGCAGCCTTTTTTTCTGACAGTGAAGTGTTTACACCCGGTAACTTTCCCCTGTCCCAATCTCACCTTTTAGCACACTCGCAACTCCCTCAAAGTCAGTAGTCACCATATCTGGCATGGTACCTGGAAGGTTGACCATCTCCCTGAGTTCCTGAAACAAACAACACTTGGGTTTATCGAAATGACATAATAAAACCATCCGGGCGCTCTGCATGGGACTGGCAGACAGATTGTCTGTACAATTTTTGAAGACTCACAAGTAATCCCCTATGATGAATAAGTATGTCCCATTCCAAATCCCACCTCAGCATCAAAAAGTACCGCTACCAAATGTTTTTAAATCCTTCAACTTTACCGCAAGCAACACACAATGGACAATCAATTAGCAGCCTATAATAGGATGTATATTCATTTCTTCAATCATTTTGTATTGACAATTATCTTACTCTCCAGCTGATTAACTACAACAGAAGCAAAGTTGACATTTTAGTTCAATAATGTAATGCGAGTCTCTCACATTAGGCAGTGGTGGCTTAATGGTTAGGGATGCACACTTTTAATTGAAGGATTGCTGGTTCGAATCCCCGACCAGAAAAGTACCGCCCCCAAACACTACTCCACGGGTGCTGAATTAGCTGCCCCCTGCTATATCACATATGGGTTAAATACAGAGGACACATTTCGTTGTTGTGCGCTGTGGTGTGTCAACAATGACCACTGATCACCAAATTCTAATTCACAGCTATGTGTACTTTTGGCTTAAGTACATGGGAGAATCGAGGCTGAGGATCAAAATCTGTAGTTAGTGATTATATACCAAAATGACTTATAAAACTATGTAGGCTATGGAGGCTTTTAAAATACTACATCCATTGAAAAAACTGAATTTGGATCAAGATGTCTGTCAGAATTTACCTGATGTTGATCCCTGGTCTGTACTAATTGTTCACTTTTGAAAATGCTGAATTGGGGCTGTCAAACGATCTGTCAATCACACACTTTAGGGATTAATGGCATGATTAATCGCATATACAATCATGTTGCAATACCACTCAAAAATATTTTATAATTTGAATACAGTAAAATCCAGTTATAATGGACTTTAAGGGACAGGCATTATATCCAAAGTCCATTATATCCAGAGTTGCTGTTTGCCCAGAACACAACTACAGGACACCATTTATTCAAACCACACCCCAGCAGACAGACTTGTGGTATAGATTATTATATTGTACATGTAGTAATCCAACTTTACCTGACCAGATGCGTGACTATTAATAATCCCGACTACGTACGTATCTGCACTGGATATCACCTGCATGTCCGTTATAGCCGAACAAAACTACAGCCAAAAGCGGCCCTGGGGACCAAATTGTTTGTCCGTTATAAGCAAAATTCTGTTATATGCCAGTCTGCTATATCCGATGCTTTTTCTGCATGTTCTCAAAGGCGCACAGCCGGGACCAGCGGACCTCATCCGTTATAGATGATATTCCGTTATAAGCGAGTCCACTATCACAGGATTTTACTGTATCCATTATAGAAATGTATTTCATACAGAAATGTCAACATAACAAATGCATAAATCAGCTTCCCCCTGAGACACTAACTGAATGTTTTGAATTTAGCTGTCTTTTTCGGGCATTCTGTACAACTTCACCAACAAGGACGAAATACAACCAAGGAAGGAATACTATAATCTCTATTAAAAATTTAGGTTCATACTTTTCTCCCTTTTGTGTATCAAAATACTGCATGTGGTAAAGCAATCAAAGAAATAACAATCTTATAGCATCATAAGCACTATGACTGTTGTGTTGTATGGAATTCTCAAACTGAGAGAACTGTTAAAACATCTGAGCAAGCTAACCATTTGGGTGCTCTTTTGGATTTACTTGGGACATCAGCCATTGCTGCATGAATATCCGTGCAGGTACCTTGCTGCTGTTCTCAGTACACATTCACAGATGCTCTCTTGCATGTAAACACCTTTATCCAAATCCAATCTGATTTAAGACAAATCTCACAGATCTTCCACAAACACAAAAAGTACCTTGTGAGATCTGGTTTGTCAAAACACTGGCAAGACATTGCACAGACCCGCATGAATTTTTTTTACGCCAGTCTCAAGAATGAGTGTCAGGTAACGGCACGTTAGATTAAGATTAATAAAAAAAAAAAAAGGCGGACATTTTGTTCTTTTGTTTTGGAACCGCACCGACAGGTCCCCATTTCAGTTCGCCGACTGGGGGGAGGGTTGAAACCTGTAATTTCACTACATGGCTACATGCCACTTCCTGACCAGTCACGTGAATTTTTCCATTGCTAAACCTTACAATTTTCTCATTCCAGCCCATCCCCCTGTCACTGCGGCACCTAGAAGGCACCTTGTCATCTTGAAACTTCCCTTCTTGGAATAAGTTTATGACAAATTAGAGTAAAAGAAAAACAAACCACCCACGTCAGACAAAAACCTCTATCTTATAAGTTAAACCTGCCTAAATGAGACGGTACGCAATCAATAAGTACTATGTCCATGGTAAAAAGTGAATTTGGATCAAGATATCCATCAGGATTTGATTGGTGTTGACCCCTGATCTGTACCAAGAATGGACTGATCTTTAAGGTAATAGACTGACCTTTATGGTACAGGCCACTTGGAGGGGTCCTCGCCGGCCCACAATGAGGACTCTTTGCACTTGACTTTCTGCCAGGGCCTCGAGGGAGGGCTGTGTGATATCGGTCTTCTGCAGAGTGGCCAGACAACAACATACTGAAACAGGCTCAGACAAGCATAACAAATCAAATTCCACTCTGGCAGCTGTAAACCAGACGATAGCAAGGGCGCTCTTCAGAATCAGGACCAGAATCAGATTTATTGCCCAAGTATGCTCACAAACACAGGGAATTTGTCCCCAGCTGTCAACGGCAACAGTCAAGATAATGGTTACGTAGACTTTAGTTTATATATATAGTCTATATATATAACGTAACTGTGTGATTGGTAACTACAAAACAGTGTAAGCATTGCAGTGTAAGGAAAGGCATAAACGAACCATGTAAAGTAAGATACAATCAGTACAGTGTGGTAGTTATTTTCAACAGTGAGGTCATGCGTGATAATGCAGGGGTGAGAGTGGAGGCGGAGATGAGGAAACTGGGGCAGCTATTCATGAGAGTAATTTCATGTGGGAAGAAGCTGTTCATGTGCTGGATTGTTTTGGCACAGAGTGATGTGCAGCATCTGCCAGAACCGAGAAGTTTAATGAGGTTGTCGTACAGGTATTAGGGCCCTGTGACATCCCTGCCCATTTCCTGACGTGGGACTGTGGGCAGCTTAATTTAGCAAACAAGATCCAGAAAAACCACTCGATGTCATTTTGATTATTGTAAACAATGGAAAATCTTAAGCAACTTCCATATGAGAACGAAACTGGAGAATAAATCATTAAGTAATAGTCTGTAATCTGTGCGAAAGAAGCAGGAGTGGTATTAGTCTTGGCGAACCGGAACATTCCATTCGAATAAATAAGACAATAATGTTTTGTAATCTGCAAGAGTAAACACATCCGGTATAATGTGTAGCAGTACAAATCGTATAAACACAAATTAACTATGTATTAAAACAGGGTACTACTCCCCTCCAGTTTAAGAAGAATGGAAAACCCCTAAGATGCTGTTCTCCCTACAAAGAAACATCATATCTATACATGCCATTAACCTACCCTGATGTTTATCTATTCTACTAGCCACTAGAAGCTAGTGGTCTGACCTTCAGAATGTCCAGAGGTGAAAGCAGTATCCTGGCAACATCCAGTGCCACATTCCCTTGGCCCAGAACCACTGCAGTCTCACTGCTAAGGTCTGGTCTCAGCTGGAGACGAGCAGAACGGCAACATTCAAAACAGAAGAGAAAGTTAAACTGAACCAAATGGAAACAAAGTTTAAACACCCAAGTCAAAACAAATGAAAGATTACAAAAACTTCACAATGTTTCATTGTACATGATTCATATTCAGGAAAGGAAGCACGGCAAGGGGAAGGATAAGGCACAATAGATCAAACTACCCAGTCTGTAAATAAACAAGGCGCAGGTAGTTGGACTGAAGATCTCTTATGCATTTAGTTTGAGGAGACGGACAGCTATAGCACTTGAGCTCACTTCCTTGTTGCCAGGAAGTCCATTATACCAGCCAACGAAGTCTTTGGCAGAGTAGACTCCTCGTAGATCTTCACCCGGAATGCCGAGACGTCGATTCCCCTCCGCTCCATAGCTCTGTGCTCACACACACGAAAAAGACAACACCTCTGAGGCCGGGGGGGCGGGGGAGCTCACAAAAACGCACCATGGAGGCACACCGACGACATAGGGACCACCTGCGTGTGGAAACGATGAGCAAACCTCACCAGGACCACAGCGTGATACGCCTGCCGCAGCTCCGCCACGCTCACGTCTTTCCCAACGCCGACATTACCAAAGAAGTTGCAGCGCTCATGCAGGGCAGTCTGGGTGAAGGTGTTGATGACATTCTGAAAAGGAGAGTAGTGGATAGTGTTGGAAATCCAACCACTTCACCAGACTGGTGAATTAGGCTTAATCACCCTCGTCTGCATTTTGCTGGGGTAAAAACTAGCCTGGCAGTCAGGTAATATGAACGTCTGCATAACTACTTCTCTTTTGTACTACAATATTAATCGTAAAACTGTAAAATAAATTATTTAAGTCATTTTACGCTGGGATGAAGAATGAATTTCACTTTTAAAATAAAAGGGCAGAGGTGTGTAGTGACCTTGACTTCTGGATGGTCAGGCGCAACCCCAAACCGCACCAGGCCGAAGGGGACAGGCAGGCGCTCGAACAAATCCACCTGTATATCCAGGCGGCTCTGCAGAGGAGACAAAAAGCACCATGAATAGAAGCAAGCCTTTCCTCAATGTTCACCCTACGACAGAGACATTTACGATCGCTCTCTCATCAAGTATATACAGATATTATATATCTTTAATTTTATACATCTTTCGCTTAAATAAGAGAAATTCTTCCCTGAAAGCTTTAAGGGCTTTAATGAACATTGTAATCATTGGTTGATGCCACCCCCTTTTTACACATTCAGCAGCTACCGTGGTCAGTGAACATTCACGTACATACAACGGTAATAAATAAAATTCATTATCAGACCAATGCACGCATTTACAATCAAATTTCATACACCTGACAATGCACACCGGAGTGAGTGAGATCTCTGAAGCAGAATGTACAAAAATGTTGTTAAAATGTCCACTTCATAAAGGATAAAAGACATTGAGTATGGAAGGCTGAAATAAAGTCAGAAGCACAGTCACGGTTACATGCAGGCTACACACAGGTCACTGCAAGTTGCTAAACAAGAAGTATTACTTTAAGAGCAAGTGGCATGTCAGAAAATCCCGAAGCAGTGTGATTATGCAATTAACGACGTGGATTACACAGAAGCGTGGACTGTTATTAAACTGAGATGATCACATATCCTAACTTTATTTACTTACAATCCAAATAAGATCTTTGTCATGTACTTACATAATATTAAAAAGTTATTTTAAGTAACTACACATCTTATCTTCAGACAGTTAACAACTAGATTACTCTGGAAAACCCCGCAAGGGAACATGCATCTTGTATCAAACCATTTTTTTCTGGTTTTAGAACTGAATCTGTGCCAGACTGAGGATTTTGGTGCATTTGATATGTACTGTAAGCTTCATTTTCACTTTAAATATACATCAACTGGCAACACATGTAATATTGCAGATCACATGCAACCTTTAAGTAATTGCTCTAAAAGAATTAATTAATCTGATATTCCACCTGGCAATAGAAGGCTTTAAAGCTGGCAGCTGTTATTTTATGTTAGTATTAGTACTTTAGGGCTGGGCGTACCCAATGGGCAGCATGGCATGCTGGGCTGGTGCCAGTCTTGTATATTGTGTAAATAGTTGTATATAGTTGAAGTATATTGGGCTGTGATAGTGTTGTATTGTAGTGTCATGTATAGTGTTCAGTGTAAAGCTGCCTTGTTTCATGACTAGAGTTGCAAAGGGGTGGAAAATTTTCGGAAACTTTCCATTCCATGGGAAGTTAAGATGGGAAATTTTGGAAATATTCCAAAGTTGAAAACTGTCCATGAGAATTAATGGGAATATATGGGAATTAATGGGAAAAATTCCAGAATTTTGTAACCCTACCTGTGACCGTCGCGATGCCTGGGTCTGTCATGCTGCAGTACGCATGATAACGCTGACATGTTAATCCTACACTAACGTGTTGTCACGTCCGACACAAAAATGATGGATTATTGCTGGTAATTTTGAAAAGGTACATATAGCATATGCTGCAACAGGCATGAGACCTGTTACAAACATCATATAAGAATAAGAACCTTCCAGACATTCCATGCCTTCAGAAACGTTTCAGCACCCAAAGCCTTTGGTCAGGACGAGAATCTACTTTATTGGCTGAGTACATTGAAATAAGAATGTGAATTTGTCAATAAATAAGGTTCCTCTCAAAAACAAAACAAAACAAAAAACCCTGATACAGCCGGGGTTGAAGAGAACAGGAATTTAACAAATAAGAAAGCAACAGGAAATAATCAAATGTAAACAACATGCAAATCCTTATTGCAATTATAAACAAACTCCACATCTTTCAGTGCTGTTTAGGATATTGCTTTAAATTGCAAGTCCTCACTCTGTTACGCGAATGTGCTCTAGGTATCATGGATTTTGCCTCAGTGCAAAGCCATTACAGGGCGGCTTCCCATCCAGTGTTCTGCGTTTTCATGCTCGGTGCTTCCCAAAGCCTGTCACGGGACCGTGCACTAAAGAATATCATCGTCCATGAGATAACATTTCTGTCAAAGTATGTAATGCTAAAAATGAAGACAAAAGAACATTCTAAGTACTGTATGCCTCATTTCCATAGTCAAATCTAAAGTTATTTCTAATTTGATAATCCACATGGCAGTAGAAGGCTTTAAAGCTGGCAGTTGTTCATTTATGTTAGTATTAGTACTATAGCGCTGGGCGTACTCATCAGGCAGTGTGGCATGCTGGGCCGGTGCCAGCCTTGTAAATTATGTATATAGTTGTGTATACTTTGTGTCTGTTGTGCTGTGATTGTGTTGTATTGTAGTGTGATGTATAGCATTCAATGATATGTGTTGTATATAGAGTGTGTGTGTCCACCATATGCTGTTGTGTGTGTGTGTCACTGTGTGAGCAAATTGGTGCTTGAAGGTTGTGTTCAGGTTGTTGGGGGGCTGAAAATAAAAGAGCACCCCAGTTCAACTCAAAGCCACCTCAGCTTATGATTGCCCGCTGTCGCGATGCCTGGGTCTGCGTTGTATCGTCCAACACAAAAATGTTAGATTATTTCTGCTTTAAGTTTGAAAACGCACATATAGCATATACTGTTACAGGCATGAGGCATTTTTTGATGTAAATTTAGAAGCTGTACAATATTCTAACAAATGTAATGCAGTTTCATAGTGACGTTTAAGGTGAATTTCAGGTTTACCCGTTACACATGCTACAGCCTTAAAACTGTGTTTTTATTTTATTGTTTTAGTTGGGTTTTTTATTGTTTAAGTTGGGCTTCAATTGCTTAATTTGGCTGACTACAGCTGAAAATGGATTAATCACGCTCACGGATAACCCTGCCTTCTTTGACTTTAAATGGTCCACATAAAAAGGCTTGAAGGCCTCACTTTCTTGTTGCTTGTGAAAGCTAAGAGTCATAAAAGATTATGATTTGGAGGTGTGTGTTCAGTTCATCTATCATGTGGATTCAGGTTCTTGTATTGTTTAGATTTTTGGGAGGGGAGTTGTACTAATTGTTTTTTTCCCAGGTATAGATCGGAGTAGCATATTAGGTGTGGAAAACATTTTCTTTGCCATTTTTTTGTTCTGGTTATGCAGTAGGCAAATGCATTTTTCCTTTGAAGTAAAGTCTTTCATTTATACTGAGTCGTACTTTTCTTTCTCCCAATGAAAAGTGCCCCGATTAAGTATCACTTGCTCTGTATGGTTTGTTCTCCCTGGGCAGAACGTTTAGGGTTCCTTTTCCCATATCTTTTATGCCTGGCCTCTTTCCCTCCAGAATACATGCTCATAACACATAGATAGCACTACCCTGATTAAACTTTTCCCCCGGAGATAGATTTTTTCCATTAGCCATGAGCTTGCACCAACTAGAAAAAGAAAACAAATGTTAAAATAACAGGCCAAACGAAAGTCAGAGCCAGTTTTAATAAAGTGCCTAAACAAGTTTGAGTTAGGATTTGTTTTAAATTACAAAAAAAAAAAAAATGATAACAGACAACCACCTCTTTGTCATGGTAAATCAGATTTGGTCAGGATGAGAATATACTTTATTGGCTGAATACTTTGAAATTAGAATGTAAATTGGTCAATAAATAAGGTTCCTCCCAAAAACAAAAAGAAAACAAAAGATGAAGAGAACAAACAGGAATTTAAATAAGAAAACAACAGGAAATAATCAAATGTAAACAACATGCAATTCCTTATTGCAATTATAAACAAACTCCACATCTTTCAGTGCTGTTTAGGATATTGCTTTAAATTGCATGTCCTCACTATGTTGCGCGAATGTGCTCTAGGTATCATGGATTTTGCCTCAGTGCAAAGCCATTACAGGGCGGCTTCCCATCCAGTGTTCTGCGTTTTCATGCTCGGTGCTTCCCAAAGCCTGTCACGGGACCGTGCACTAAAGAATGTCATCATCCAGGAGATTAAATGCTGTTTTTTTGGTCAAGATACACAAAGATAAAAGAGCAATCTAAGACCTGTGAGAATAGATTATGGATAAATGGTACCAAAACTATTTCAAAGACATCAAACATTTTTTTAGCAACTTTTCAGAGTTCTAAAGGAAGACAAGGTCTTGGAAACCAATGGCTAAGACCAATAACCTGTAAGGCATTCTGGAGAAAGGGCTGTTATGACCAGCTCCCATCCCAGTCCACAGGGCTCATCCACTTGCCTGTGACAACTTCCAGAGGTGGTTCACAGGCCATAATTTGTTCATGAATGACATAATGCTTAAGTATTAGGGGAAATTGCGTTAAACACAAAGAAGCTAACAATAGCTAAGAAGACAATCATGGTAATGCAATAAACCTGGTGGAAACAAAGCCACTTCCTGCACAGTAGCATTCTCCGCTCTGCCTGTTCTTATTCAGTTTCGATTGTGTCACTCGGAAAATGACAAACACAACACCACATTTGGGTCATTAACTTGTGAAATCAGTCGACTTCATGGACAATGGCAGCATCTGAGGCTATTTCCTAAAGGCCAGTGTTCTGCCATTTTTTGCTGCCTTGTTGGAATTTGGTACCATAGCAGACATCTTCAGTTATATCTGTCAGTTTTTGCTACTTTTCCAAAATATCCCACCTATAGTCTTGAATGAACATTTGTATAAGCATTTATGCTATCAAAATAATTGTCCTGTACTTTAAAAAGAGATGCAATCAGAAACAGTTACTTATTTTCAGTGTGGCAACAGTTTTTTACAAGTAGTTCTATGCTGCCAAAATCCTACCTATAGTTTTCAGTAGGGTAGAATGTCATGTCAAAGAAGTGTAACAAGTGTATCAAATATTTTGACTTTAATTAAAACAAAGACCACAATTTAAAGTCGTCTAAACAAGCAAAACAAATGCACGTGTGCTGTCGAGTTTGATGGTAAAATCTGGTCCCATATTTACAGAATTTGGAAGAATACAAGCAACAAATTAATCACCTGGATTGTTATATAAATAAACATAGACAAAATATGAATAACACCACGTTAAACTGCAAAAAGTAGCAAAAATTTTCAGGCAT